GTGCAGCAAGTAGGTCGCCGACCTACCTCATCTGTGTGAATTGTTCAGTGTTATTCCCTTTTATACGTGCGTTTTCCCTTGAAAATCCGATTTCCTTCCACGTGTCAAATTAATAATTGACGACCCTTTTTTCAACCCAATTCTGATTTGTATCGGTCATAGGGATTTGTTTGACCATACTTCTCCACATGAGTCAACGCGGGTCGGTGAAGGTCGTGCCCAAGAACCGGTTCAGATTATCACCCATCGCTGATACTCACTGTGGCCGGGAATCGAACTCAGCTCGCCAGTCATTGCTTAAGAAGTAAACGTTCATACTCTTTGGTTCTATTCGGTAGAACCAAAGAGTATTGAAGCTCTGTCGTCCCGACAGTTCTGTTCCTTCACCTGAAGAAGGCTACTTGTGTTGTGGCCGAAACGTCGTGATTTTTGTTGTTTTATTTTTTTACCTACGTGACTTTACCGAATAGAACCAAAGAGTATGGATCCTTGCAATCACGAAAGCTTCAAATCTAGAGAAGTAAACGTTCATAAAAAAATGTATTTTCAAAAAAATATATCCACGCGTGCCACACAGCGTGACCCTGAAACGATGACATCGATTATTACACTGAGCAGTGTCCAAGTGTCGACACAAGAAGCGGTTCCTCCTTGACCGTGATTGGGAGGTTTCAGAGCGAACAGAAGCGAGTTAAGGAATTAACCCCCGCTCCTCCCCAAAGCGGGCACTGCAATGAGTTGATCATTGGCACCGGAATAATAATAATGGATTTAATGGATTTTTGTCTGTAACAAGGAGTCGCGTTGTAGCACAAGGGCGCAAACACTCTACGGACGCACGCGTGCACGCATGGGCACACACGTCCATGCGGACGTCTGGCTATTGATGAAATCTTAAGCACTCGGCTTTGACATACACGGCACTTGCGCAGAGGCGCACGCACGCACCACCCGCTCGCACGCGAGCACAGAGCCTCCATTCAAAAGGGGGTCAGCCACATTTAAGCGTCTGCCATCTGTCCCGTGGCCGCACGCTAACAAACGCGCCCTCCGCAGAGCCATGCAAAGCCACAACGTCACACACACACGCGGCACCACCACCACGACGACCCTCGAATGTGGCCAGCGATTGCAATGAAAAACCGGGATGCGACAGGCCCAGGGATTTGACGCTTCAACGAATTCTTGCAGGAGACATTTGATGCCAGAGGTCCATAGGCTGACGGACTAAAAGGTTATCTTACTCTCTGCGTCGTCAAAAAGGACCTTCCGTGCGCAATATATTTTTTATTCCCCAAACGCCACCATGGCGGTGCTGAACAAATGTCGCAGGCGCTCCACCAGTAACATTCGTCATCAATGCCACCTTCGCGCACAAGGCAGGTGGCAATTCATTCATTAAGGTATATTGTATAACTCACGATACGTGTAAATTAGACTCAATTAGAGTATTTTATTTACGTATATCAAAATATTGCAGCCCCACTCCTCCTCCCCCATAAATAATCCACTATGTAACACGATTTTTGTTCCTGGGTAGTGTTATTTTCTAATTGCTCATGCCTCAAAAGTATAGAAAATGGCTATTGTTCCACACACACTTTGCAACGTGGATATATTTCCCTTTAACCAAGTGAAGGTCCATTTGCTCGGGAGATAATTTTGTTTTACAATCTTCAGAATCATCCACGGTCAATCCACTGCTGAATGAGGGCCTTTGCAAGTTTGACATCTTTCGAGATCCTACGATGTAAGACAAAGATCCCCCGTGTAGCCTCAACAGACTGTAGGGGCAAGTGCTGTTAGCAAGCACCTATTAAGGCCGGCAAGGCACACAAGGGGGTGGGTGGCCAGCACCACGCCCGACCGCCTTTGTCACCCCAGTGACGAAGTTTACACACCACACCAGGTACTCATTTGAGGCCAAGCCGACATAGGGGAGGATCAAGCCACCGAGCACCAGCATACGAGCTGAATTCATCACTCAATCTCCTTGGATGGCGGCATTTTGAACGTGTTCCATTCGTTGACTATCGGTCATTATTCTTGACATTGAGCCATCATCCCTTCCAGCGATGTGTCCGATCCAAGCCCAGTTACTTTTTTTACACTTTGAATCCCATTAACCTGTATGCTCTCGAATTCATGTTCCTCTGTCTCTCATTGTAATTCCAAGCACGCATCTCTCTACGCTTTCTTCGCACACTATTTCGTTTTTGTTCCACTTTTTCATCAATGACCATACACTATTTCTGAATAACGTCATGAAGCCAATCATCAGTAACTTGTTGACACACCACTGTGACGTAAATTTGACCAGCTCTGATGCTTCTCAAGGGGTGTAGTTTAACACGTAGGCTTTTGTGGCCAATATTATCCAGAGTAAGGGTTTTAATTGCTTTGGGTTAGATCGCTTGAATCTTAATTCGTATGGATTAATAGCAGCAGATTTAATATGTAATTTTAGATGTATCCACTCAATTGTCTGCTCAGACGCAGTGGAACTAGTCCGTTCCTCCTTTAAAGTATTGAAGGCAATGCGGGTCGATATTTTGCGATTCATGGCCGTACTCGCAGGCCGCCGAATCTTTGATGTACCATGTGGCATCAGAAGGCCGCATCACGTCAGTATAATGCGTCGTTAAAACCGCCACCACACGACACAGCCAATTAGTAAGGTTTGTCACGTAAACTAAACGTGCCAGTTAGTTACTAGTTTACCACACCGGTGTGTCGGAGAGTAAACCCACGTTTACAATTCGAGTATGACGTTTCGCCGACTACAACCAGCTTCATCAAGCGATTAGCCAGAATTCAGAAGTATTCCTGCATACCAAGCGAGGGAGTTAACATCTCGCCACCGCGGCACCCACTTTAGCTATGGACCTACCCATGGACAGCTAACTTAAAACGACCTTCATTAAAAAAAACAAGACCGAAAACATTGACTCAGGAGACAACTGCTTTTGTTCAAACGTTTTAATTCAAAACTGGATAGAAACAAAGTGCCGTAAAAAAAGACAGAGGGCGCCGTGAAGCTTGTCAAACTGCTGACGAGTGATCAACACCCAAACACTGTGCAAAACCTTGCAAACTGGAACACAGTAAAAAAAAAACCCTCCAAAATCGTACAACAAAGTGTCCAAAACCATCTGATCATCTGCCCCGTGTGAGATACGCAAAGGAGGCTCTTTTAGGCAATCACATTCTCTTAAGCCACCCTCTCAAAAACACCACGACAAAAAATTGCAACTGCTGCCATGCAAACATTTCTTCCATCGCCATACCATTCAACTCCATTTGAAGCCTTTAACAAATAATTCATATCTTTTTTATCATTTGAAGATTGCCAAAAAAGCAGCCTCCCACATACAAAAAAGTACTTGTAGGAAGACACAAGTGAGAAACTTTATGTAACGGTTTGCAGGCTCCCCTGCGTGGAGGCTCGCCGTGCGGGGAAACAAGAGTGGTCCCATTGAGAAGTGATCCTTCTCTTCACCACACCAAGCCACAGAGGGGACATGGAATAGGGTGTGGGGGAGGGCGGTGGCTTCGTGGGGGAGAACGAGGCAATTTGGCCTTGCCTTGGATTTTAAGCATAGGTTTACCAACAAACACGAGCCGATCGGCCTCTTTCGGGTCAGTGCTGGCAAGTGGCAATGATGGTGCACGGAGGCTTGGCTCCTGCAGTGGTCGTGTAACGTACGAAGGCAGTGGCCCATTGTGTGTAGTTTATGAAGCCTGGACTTTTGCGGCTTCATGGTGCAGTTAGAGATATGCCAACTCAAAAACAAATCTGCCTTTACCGCGTCTATTAAATAAACTAACGCTCAATGAGCCTCTTTGTGGAAATCTGGATGCTGAATGTTCAAGGAGTTGTTGCAAGTTGTTCGTAAGAAAAAGTCTAATTTACACCACTGAAGCCCATTGATCGTGTCTCAAAATCAACTGGAATTCTACCGACATTATCTGTCCTCTCCAATAGTTAACAAGATGATCTATTTTAAGCTTTTAAAACAAAAATTGGCACCAAGAGACGAATACAATTCGATTTGGAATGCTCTCAAAGAACAATTGCACCATCTTGTCATAAAACAGCCCAAACGATGGCAACACAAAACGTCATAAGTAGTTTATCACAGAGCTCCTTCTAAAGCCCCTGCAGTAATCCATATTTGAATCCAATTTATATTTGGGTCAAATATAAACATTAAACTTTCAGAGATAGAATATGCCAAATTAAGTGAAAAACGAAACTTATTCATGGAGTTCAGGCAGCTGTTGGTGACCAGCTGGAGACCAACTCGCCACAATGGCGAGACGTTTACTACCTCGCCTGGTATACAGGAGGTTGTGGGTTCTATACGGACCTTGCCGCCTGCTGCTGCTGTATATTTGGAGTTTGCGCGTTCTCCCTGTGGTCGGACGGATTTTTCTCCGTGTCCTCCGGCTTTTCCCTCCACATTTAGAAACATGCGTTTAAGAGTATTTGGCTGCAATACATTTCCACATAAGCCACTTCATTGAGCTTGTCATTTGCGGCCAGGTCGCTTCAGAAGAGCTATATATCTCAGTGGGCCTTACCTGGAAAAAATACTAAGTTTCGTTTAATTTTATCTCGATAACGCTGAAGAACACAGTGTAATCACAGATTGCTGGAACCTAGATTCGAACCTGGACTCTCATGGTGCTAGCTCAGTGCTCCAGTGCAACACCTTTCCCTGTGCCACCTGCCACCCCCCACGAAAACTCAACTTTGATCTGCAGCCATGAACGGCCCCTCATTTTTGATCTGCAACAATTGACTGCCGTCCTACCAGAACATCACCTCCATGCAAATGTAATATATTTTTTCAATGAAACTTCAAGACAAGAGGTCACCCCCTTCCACTGCCTCCAGTCCTTGCCCTTAAGACTTTCTACAATGATGAAAGCCTGAGCGAAGCACTCGCGCGCATTCCACTTACGACTTCCCATTCAGTTTCTCCTTTTCTCTCTTGCTCTTATAGATGTCAACCAAGGTCCCTCGTTTTGGCTGGAGTCGCTGTTAATAGACTAAAGTTGTCGGGGGAGGGGGCGCGCTGGAATGGAGCCAATCACACAGGGACATTTGTGATCACTTGGGACTTCTAAACCAATCAAACGCGGTTTGACATGAGACTGACAATATGTTCTATTGTTCTTATCACAACAGTGGTCCTTTTTACACGATACTGTACATGTGCATTGGTTCAATGCAACAATTTTAAACGTGCTGAAAAATCGTTTGAACTTGGTTTTACACGAACAATTTATAGCCAAATCGGTTTCACGAGAATTATTTATCTTCTTTCGCGTAAAAAAGGGTCCAACCTATGCAATTGGTTCGTGAAGCCTCCGTGATTGCCACATTCCATCGATTCCCCTACCCACGTGCATCTGTACATTTGCCTTTAAGTCGCATAATATACAACAAAACCACTCTCCAGAAACCACAAGATCTTATTTATAGCATAATAAAAGCTAATAAAATATTAAAGGCGCTGTTAGGCAGTGAAATCATACATAAATTATGTCAACAAAAACCAAATACATTTAGTTACAATGCTAACCACTGGTCTCAATCCTAAAACAAATCTAAACATTTAGTGGAAAAAATACTTAACACACCTTAAATAATTATTACAGCCCTTACACACAACTATGTCTTATCATGAAATAATAGACCACTTTGCAAATTGCCTTGCCTTGCTTGATATCACAAACCACTCGGCAGCTGAAGCGTAAACTCGTCCAACTAAACCTCTGACCACAGGAGCATGCTGTTGTGGTGGCGCGTTTGTCTGGCCTTCCAAACCATAAAAGTTTATAACGAGTTATACAGGTTCCTTGATTCAGCTCAAAGTGTCTGGGGGCACTTCCCACTAGGTTCTTGGGACTCTTTCGAATATGATTTTACAGCATGCCAGTGTAAGGTGTGTCAAATGTATACGTGGTGCGGTGAAATAAAAGAAAAATCTCCACGCATCTTGCAGTCGTTTAATCGGATATATTATCTCACTACCAAGTGTGATGCGATGAGCATTTAGTTGAGTGGATGTATACTTTACGAGATGCTACGATATTGTTTCAACTGACTTTGAATTTCACACAATCTTGCAGGTTTCCACCACGTGGGAATGTGACATCAAGCGGGGTGTCAGCCATTGGTGCCTTAAAACAAGCAGTCTTTGCGACAAAATAATAAAAAAAACATCACCATAAAAATACAAAAAACCTTTCCCCATCAACAAAACAAGGGACGAGGAAATAAACACCATTGAATTACAACTAGTTGGCAATGCTGCAAAACGTCACGCTTTTGCCGTAAATGATCCTCTACACCTTCTTTGAAACATATATAAACAAAGTGACCAAAAAAAATGCCTCTCCGTAGCTCGGAACGCACAGTGGGGCAGGCCGCGAGAGTTTCGGCGCTGCCGCGTTAAACATCCACATGACCAATTAAGCGATTTAACCAGCCCGTGTGCGTGCTCGTCCGAAACTGGGTCACGACAGGCGCCATGCGCCCGGCGCCTCTCCAATCCGAAGCCACGACGACTCCAGACGCGATCGTCGTCCTCCTATTCCCAAGAGGAGGGGGTGGACCTCACACAACCACGGTTCCCACCCGCTCGCCCGCCCGCTCGCGTCCGCAAAACCTTCTCCCTACCCTGTTGTAGCGCGCAAAAAAAACCTGATGGGACTTTTATTTAAATTCCCCCGTCTCGCACCTGAACGTGGACATTAAAGAGAATCGCGGTGGTGCAGCCCGAGGCTCGGTTTGTCAAATCCCTGAAGACGGTTCTATAATCTCTACAATTGCTAAATCCACCCAGGTTTTGCAACAAAAAGAAACGCGCTCCCACAACCCCCCCCCTCCCACTGACGCCTGTGAACTGCGCCTGCTGACCCGAGTGTAAGTGGCAGCAGTCTACCATGAGGTCTCCTAGGAGAGAGGATTCGGTTGGAATGCGCTTGGGAGATGTTACACGCTTCCAAATAAGGCGGCAGAAGATACAAGGCAAATGTGCAGTAATACGTAGGTACATTAACTGTATTTATGGCCATGTGTAAGCCCATTGAGAAAAAAAACCCCATTTATTTTGCAATGGAGAGTTAAGGTTCGCTGCACCTCTTGAGAAGAGACTTTCGAACAGACTTAAAGGGTGCAGCACCCTTAAAGGTCACACAGACCTTAATGTTTGCATGAGAGGTGGTCACGCCATTTTGATTAAAATAAGTCACCAAGATCTGGAAAAACGAGCACTTGAAAAAAAAATACGAATTTGAACGATTGGGTTTGTGTGTGCAGCCACTGGTGACCGAGCTGGGACCACCAACTGTGCTACTATGAATGTAATGATTCACCTTCTCACGATTCAATTCCTTATTTTCTATTGTGATGCGTGTGCAATCCATGAGCGGGGCTGCGGTGCTTTCATGAATATACACATCTCGAAAATAATCGCTTCTTACACGCATGATAGTCATGCGTGGTGGGCATACACATCGATTTTATTCGATGAATCATTAACATCCTCAATTGCTCCACTTGAGAACTTGTTTTATTCTCGGGTTGGCTGCCGAGACATGAATCTAGACTGGCGCTCAGTTATCAGACAGTGAGCCACCTCCAAGCATTACAAACTGTGAGAGAAATAGAGTGCTGTAGCTTGCCACCTCATGAAAGCGTGCATCGGGATCGGTCACTGCAGAAACAGATGGAGGAGTTAAACCGGGTAGGGAACAGGCGCGGGGGACTCGCCCCTGGCTCAAGCCATCACAAGCGCGCACGCGCGTGAGTACAGCACGCTTCGAAAATACGGACTTAAACCTGTGCAAAACGCAAGCCCGATTCGGCATAAAGATTAAAGCGAGAAATTATGTGCATTGTGTCATAGAAAAAAAAAATATCTGTTCAGAACATCTATTTGGCAAAAAATAAATTTCAGAATAATTAAAATCACAATTTAACACGCAAAGGCAGAGATGCGCAAACTAAAAATGCCAACAGGAGAATTACATTACATTCCGCGACAAGTGTATGATACATTCCACAGTGTATATTTTAATTTTGATGATGTCCTTAGCGTTCACTACAAAACCTGTCACATTATGGATATTTGGTCAGAAAGTGCTGCCTTCCAATATCCAATTGTTATCGTGTATAAAACATTTTTTTCATCATATACTCTAAGAAAGGTATCTTTGTGCTTAAGTAGTTTTATTTTAGCAAAGTGTGATGCTTACGTAAAAAGACGTGCCGCGGGTTCTCCTTCGCCGGATGCTGTAGAGTAACGTCAAGCGAAGAATGGCTCGCGGTATTTTGCTCATCACCAGCAATTCAAGCAACATTTTAGAGGCCAACCTTCTGCTACTAGAGGTCACATGGTCCTTTACACCAAAACGTGCTGCCAGCTCAAGTGTAACTTGTAGACTGCTCTTTGAACCCAGAGGTCCCAAAAAACGTATCAAAGCCATAGGCTTGTTTGGCGATACTGTGGCAAGGCTGCACAAGTGGCTGAGATTATCGCAGCCGTCGCCACATCCAGAACCACCGACACAAATTCAGCAGAAACCACGCCATCTTTACCAGTTCACTATTCCTACAATGACACCGCGATATCGTTCACCACCATCCACATCACCATTATCCTTAATACCATAACCATTGACCATGTCGTCACCACATCAATAACAAGAAAACACAGCCATCACCACATCACTATCTCTGCGACAGTCAGCAAATTCACCACCAGAACACGCATCATCACTCAACACAATCACCACCAACAAGACTGCTGCAACCGCCAACAGTGCAACTCCCCCCTCCCCACTCTGTTGTGCAGATGCTGATGGAACCATACAATGGCTTCTGGCGACAGCTTGGGCACCCCCCTTGGTTTAGAGCATTTCCTGACCCTGACAGCCTATTTTAGTTGAAACTTAAACAAAAATGTATGGTACATTTATTTTTAGTGTAGAAATTCTCTCATAAAGTATTGCATTTTTTTTAACCCATGAAATGTAAAAATGGCAGCCAGGCTGCATTGTTCATACAATCGTATTTTCAAACCTCTAGTAGACAAAGGAGCCTCTAAACGTCCTTGGACTGTCGGTTTGGCTCACAGTAAAGGTGCGCAAATGTAAGAGTGCTCGGCTACAACCTGCAAACCTCCGTGGGCAGAGGCTGCCCAACTATGTAAAAAAATACAAACATTCCCAACAAACTATAACTTTGTTTTTGCTTTCAACAATAAACACCCGCTATCCGGGGGAACACACACAGGGCCACCCTTCCGTATCACGCGGGAAACAGAATAACTCTTAAGAGACGCGTAACGGGCACAGATGAAGAGCGGTCGAGGTGGAGACAGAGTGGCGTGCCTTGGCCTACGCCGCCTTCTTCAGCTGCAGGAGGCGCCGCTGCAGCTGGGCCCTGCGAACCCTGAGCTGCTCCTTCTCGGCCAGGAGGCCGAGCTCGCGGCGCGTGGCGGCCACGGCGCTCTCCGCGGCCTTGCGCAGGATCACTACCTTGGCCGCCTTCTCGTTGCCCGCCAGCTCGGGGACCTCGTCGCGTAGCGCGCGGAAGCTGCGTTTGAGGTCCTCGCGCCGCTGTCGCTCAAGGAAGTTGTGGTTGCGCCGCCGGCCGTGCTCATCCGAGTCGTCTCCTGAGCCCGAAGTGAAGCCCGAGTCGGAGCAGGCGGCTGAGGCTGGCGCGCAGGATGCGAACGGCACGAGCGACGGCCCGGCGGCGTGGCGTGGCGGGGACCCCACGCCACACTGCGGGCCGGCGGTGGTGACGACGCACGGCCTGAGGCCTTGCGCGGCGTGGTACGTCATGTCAAGGGATGGTCCCGCTATCGCCCCCTTCCTGGACGTTGGCGATTTTACGGTGGTCGCAATCTCGTAAACGGGGTCGGCGGCGCGGGACTTACAGCGGAGCGTGCACGAGGATTTCAGCGCTGGTGGCGGCGCTAGCCGCTTGGCTGGCTGGGAGTGCCGAGAGTTGAGGGGGGCAGCCACGGGCCGGGTCGGGGGTGATGGCGCTGAGTAGTTGTGCTGCTCCTGGTGCACCTGGAGAGCAAAGGGGCGGCACGAGGCGGCAGATTGCGCCGAAGCTGGTGCCGTCTTGTCGCCTGTACGGTGCTTCCCGACCGTCACCACGTCGATTATCTCATCGTCATCATCGTCGTCGTCGTCATCATCATGGTCATCGTCTTCATCGTCTTCTGCTGAAAGGAAAAATATAGATTACTTTTGGGTATTGATAAATTCTCACATTAATGGATTAAAGATACAACCCAAAAAAGGCAAAGTTCTTATCGAAAAGATAACATACAAGGGTTGTTTGGCACAAGTTTGACGTTTTTTTAATGAGGAAAAAAGATAGTGATGATTAAATCTCTTGATATGGTATTCTATTGATGTCACTGCTAAACATTTAATACATCAAGGCGGTGGTGAGGCTACGAGCGTAACCATGGCGCACATGTGCGATTTATTAACTTTTTCCTCCTTTAATTAAACCTCAACTCACATTGGGCAACTTTGGATGCACAGGCTGGGCACGCAATCAACAAAATAAGAACCAACTGTGTGTTTTTTCGATCGCTCCTTCCCTTTAACGGCCGAGACACCCGACGGTTAGGGGGCAAGCCCGTGTTTGCAGAGAGACGTGGGCTCGTGCTTCGTTGAATTTCGCCGCGTTCAGGATGTACGCGGCGGCGTTCAGCGCTGCCTTGCGGGGGTCCAGTGACGCAATGCACAGTGACAGGCTCGCTCAGCTGTAGCTACAGTAGAGCATTTCCAGCTACAGCCCCCCACGCAGCAGTAGCAGCGTGAAATTCTGTGTTTCCGTAAAGGGTCACAGAACCCGGTGAACCATTTCCTCTTCACTGTACCACAATGACCTGAAATTCAATATCTGCTGCGTGGCTGATTGCCACTACGACTAATAAATATATTGCTTATATTCGAGACAATATGAAATCTGTTGTTCTATTCGCATTTGGTCACGAGACCAACGTTTTCTTTTGAGTCACCTGCAGCTAGCAGTGCACCGCCTTGTCATAGAATACCATATAGCATCACAGAACTACTTCTCAAGTCTGTTCTGCAGCCTCTTATCCACTCGAGAGGCACATCCTTTATTGCCATAAAGCGTGGAAATCAAATGACAATCAAACCAAAAATGTTTAACTCTCAGGGCTGGAATATGCCGAATATACTGGAAATGTTACATTTATGCTGGACGTTTTTTGTGCAGTGATTGGTAACTCAACTTGCTACACTTAAAATCCAGTTGAGAGGACAGCTCCCGGATTATAACCCAGATTCTCAGCTAAGGTGCAATCGGTGCTCTGACAAGGTTATTCTTCACCCGAGCCACCCCGGTCACCTCAGCTGATAAACAATTAAACTGCTGACCATCGAGAGCTCACAGAATGAGGTTGAGGTTCCATCTCCCTGAGGTCACACAACAGATGGTTGCTGACCCCTCAATAATCTGGATCGAGGGCCATAATCCACACTCCATGGCTTTACCGGCCGGGCAGATGGATCCCCGGCGACACCAGATTACACGGCGACATGAATACAGCAACCACCGCTCCCTCATTCTACAGGGTTTACGGGCTGAAAACTGGGGCGAACCCATTTCACCGTGCCAAGGGCCAAATTCACATATTTACAAAACGGCCAAAGCACATAACACGATTGGCTACGTATGGTGCGAAAGAAGTTCAATATACCGTGGCGTTTCGGCCCCATCTTTAGTAATGGAGGCACCAGCACATTTTCGCTAAAATAAACCAATTGAATACAAATAAATTGCCAGCATGTGGATTGGGTTGTAACACTTTCAACGATCTGACAATGAACAAAATGAGATTGTTTCTTTTTTATTCCCCAAATTATTATTCAGTGATGAAACCAACGTTAGTTAATTCGACAAAAGAGCATTTCAACGAATGCTTGCAGCTAACAATGCACCATTCTATTTTCGATAAAGGCCCCAGTAAATTCGGTCCCAGAACTACTTCTCTTTGGTCTTCTCAAAAGCCTCTGATCCACACTATGAGCGCACCTAGCGATTCGTTTTTTTATTTCACTTTGACTAGCAGGCCACATGTACTTTGGATGTGACCGTCCGTCAATTCCTCTCTTGCTTGGAACTCACAGCCCTCGTGGGTCGCCCCTTCCGCCCAGCGTGTCACTTGCTGACGACGGGGGGACTTAGAGCTTCCACTCGAGTACTAAATGCCATTGACGCGACAATCCGTCCATCTGCCCGCCCCTCCCCCTCCAGCCAGCCAGCTGGCCAGTCAGTCAAACTTTTTTTCTAATATCACATGATTCCATCGCTAATTCCACACTCCAACCCTTTAAATGATGAGCGCAAACACACTTTTCCTTCTAACTTCAATTCCCTTTGTGATATGAGGATCTGCTGTATGTCGGGGCTTTCCTGATGTTATTATTATACATGTTGACCTGGTAGCTCCACCGAGTCTCATTACTTTTTCAGACATGTCCTGCAAAGTCTTTGCAATAGGGGGCGATGATTGCTACGAATATTCCACTTTTTCTTCATTTGGCAGATTTGGACCGTGATAAATGGTTGCTTTGGTCTGAGTATCAACATGCTGGAATTAGGAGAATATTTTATAGCCGACAAAAAAAACTCACATCTACTTTAATCAGGAAACTTGGTAATCACACAACTGCTTCTTGCCCTCCAGAGTGTTCGGAATGACTTCAATAATGGAACGTTATAATTTGCAGCTATGATTAAATCTCCTATCAACTCGTTGCCGTTTTACTGGGTGTACTTCTGACACTGGGCTGCCAGAAAAGTCCATCCATCTAAGCCGCACAAACTTTATATAAAAGGTCTTTCATTTTTAACAAATGAAAGGCTCATTTTTGCTGGGACAGAAGAGTTTCAACAGTCGCGACTGTCTGAGAAAGGGACAGCGGTTCTAACACGGCCGTCCTTGCCTTGCGCAAAAGCCCACGTGCACGACCTGTGTGTTTGAACTACTTGGCCTTTTACATCCTGTTTGTGAGAGCACGTGCTCAGCGAGGCACGTTTTAAGTGCTGTGCACACAGCTAACAGCCGTAAGGTAATAAACTAAACGTTCACCTGGGCTTTCAGGGAAGCACATGGTCATTGTGAAAGCCTTGCAAACAGGGCGAGAGCTAACTTTTTAGACTTTGCTGCAATTATTTTTTCTTGAGGTCAAAATGCCAGGAGCACAGTGCACATCCTCAGAAAACTAAAATGTTAATATGGTACAATTCTTACGATGAAAATAATATTCCGTGCATTTATCGCAGCACAATAATTGTTTAATTAATCATTTCTTTTCTTCATAACGAAGAGCCTAATATTAAGTAAGACTTGTCATAGATACATCGATTAAAACATTCGTACGGTATTTCCAATTTCGAAGTTTAAACCAATATGAGTTTCTAAATTTTCACACCATCATAGATTTTGTCTGCACAAGCGCAAAGCAATTGAAATGTCAATACAATTCATTACGCAAAGGTCAATTAACACCTCCCGGTGATTTGATTATTTTTTATTTCAGGATCATGAATCAAGTCCAGTTTATTTCGTCTCGTATGCTCTGGATATTTGTTCTGTTCTTGTTCATTCTATGAGCCTAAAGGTAACTGCGTATAATTTGCATCAACTATACTTAATTGTCTACGACGAAATTACCCGGAAAGTGCCCAATCTCATCAGCTCTCAGACGCTCAACTGGGTTGAGGTTAATATAGGTGGTTGTGGGGGATGTGCTACGTGGTGGTCAATGGATGGCAGTGCAGCACATTCCACTATTGTACTGCACTTCGAAACTCCCAAATATATGTGGGAGCACAGACGTCAACCCATTGTGGGATGAGGGGCTTCCCACTACGTGCAGGCTATGGGGGTTATTTATCCAAACTTCACCACACTAGTCAGTGTGGAATATTGAGAGGATGCCCAGGTCCACAGCTGATGAAGCATAGAAGTTCAGTACAACAATGTAACTTTTTGCAATGCTGGAGTTTCCGAAATCGCCTGATGCATAGATTAAAGCGAAATGAGTGTGTGCAGCTGGCACCATCGAACCCTCACCGGATTCGGAGTCAGAGGCGCTGGTGCTCCCACCGTCGCTGTCGGAGCCTACCGAGTCCGTGCGGCCGAGCACACGTGCACGCGCGTGTCCATACGCAGGCGACGGCGACCGCGACGGGAGCAGCAGCGGCCCCAGCTCGGGCGGCACGACCCGCGGTGCCGACACGCCAGCAGAACCGACACCACGTCCTCCCCCTGCCCCCGCCGAGCCCTGCACGGCCACGGCCGCCACCGCACCACCCCACATGCAGTCGCGGACGAGCACGGGCCACGGCGAGGCTTGCGCCGCGCCCCGCTGCTCGGGAGGAAGGGCTGCCGCCACGTCGCCCTCATCCACCAGCCGCTGCGGCGATGGCGGCGTCAAAAAACCCGGAGACGCAGGGCAGCCCACGTACAGGGGGCCCGGCGCGGGCACAGAGCCGCTCCCGGGCCCAAGCAGCAGCTGGAACTTCTTCCAGATGTGCTCACCGGGCGCGGCACAATAGAGGCTGCCGGCCCGGAAGAGCTCGTCGTCTTCATCGGGGTCATCGTAGAAGTAGCCGCACTCGTGCTCAGAGTCGGGCCACGATGCAGTGGCGACTGTGGCGCCGAAGGCGTTCGGGAACCAGGCCATGGGCACGTTTGGGCGCTCGCGCTGCGGGAACAAGTGTGGTCAGTTCGAAACTCAAATCCCAACAGTTCTTTGCTTTCCGCACCCACCAATAAATCATCTGCATTTTTTGCGTGAGCACAAAAACGCCAATATCGTTAATGACTCCATCCAAGAGGCAGGTTTGCCTACTGGGCACCTGTACAAGAAACCATGGCCTACGAGCTTTAATGAGAGCTCTACACAGAAAAAACATACATCAATTTTCCAGTGTGAAGAGTTCAGCTCTGCACAGTTGTCAGCCATTCACACGATGTTCCCCATTTCTGAACTGCTACGCTACATGCATGACACGTGTAGTAAGTGGATTGGCACAGTTGGATAAACGTCTCAGATTTATATCTATTGGCAGAGTGCATCCCTACTCCTATCTTGCGCTGTGTGTAAAACATCGGTGGCAAAACTCCATTCCTTAATTTGGCCAATCTTGATCTCGAGGCACGTGCTTAATCCAGGGCTCAGACAGCCACAGTAAGGCAGCCCCTAATCCGCAGGATCAGAGGGGCACCTTGCCTCAATACAGCTGAGAGGCACGCAGTGTTGACCTCTTCCCCCATTGGGCAGAAATTGCACACTGCTTTAATTAGAGTCGAATCTCAAGACCCGAGTAGATGAGCAAGCGTCTCCACATTAAACTGACCAGACTGTGGCAGCGGGACAAGGGCCTCTAGAAACACGAGCATTTGGACCACTCTTCACTACCTGCTGCTAAACGTTGGCATCAATGGAGGTCGCTGGCTACGCTTGTTATATAGTCAGTGGGTGGGTTGGCGAGCGGTGGGGGCATTGAGTGCAACTGAAAGGCATTCGACTAAGCTGCAACCGCTTCAGAAATTTGGCCGCGAGGTTTCTTTCTGGTGCCAGGCATTGCCAGCTCATGCGCCGCGTTGCTAATACAGTTACACTGGCTGCCTGTGAGATTGCATTGGTGTCAGCATTCCGGGTTTGGCGTGGGGTTGCCCCTACCTACCTTTGTACGGCTATTTCCTAGACACGGGCCTGCTTAGATCTCAGACGTCTAAGGACCGGATACCAACATTTCCAGCATCAGACATAAAGTTTCAGATTGAGTGTGCATAGGCGTGGCTTTCCCCTGAGCAAGGATACGACATAGATTTTGCTAAAATCGATGCACAGATTTGGGTCATTCGAGGTTTGCGTGAATACAACATCATTCAGCTTTGGCTGCACTACGGTAGTCGTGACTGTGAGCTTTGTCTTCGGGCTTTTTTTATGAGATCCTATATAAAACTACGATAAATGCATTGTAGGGGAATAAGTAAACGTCTGAGTGGCCCGTGACATCATTTGCAAGAACAGGTTATTGTGTGCCAAAGTCACAACACAGATCCCAAATTTACCCTCCGAAACTAAGCTTTGTAAAATATGTAATTGTTCTTTTAGGTGGACATTCTCAGCTCTTGAAACCCTACTGCTCAGAGACACGGATGCATTGTCATGGTATACTCGTAGTATGGTTTCTGTGACCGGGTGTTACGTGGTGATCAACCAATCACACCAAACGGCTCAGTGAGTCACCAGCACTTCAATTAAAAAAGCACTTTGTGTATTAAGTGTTATTATTTAATCTGCTCGTTCACATTCTCTTCATTCTCTTCAGGACAGAGTTCCTATCGGCAATATGGTTCTATACCCGCATCCAGTTTCACTACTCTCCTTTGAAATTCCCTGAAGTTTGCTGTTGGCTTCTGACATGTATCAGGTTACACAGTGCACAGCATCTGGAGATGCCTTATTTGGCCTTTTTTTCCCCCAATGTCAAAATTTTAATGACAGCATATTGTATCATGTTCCGTAATCTTATCCATCAGCTCTAAGCCATCTAAATTCCTTGCATAATGGTACTGTACCCATACAAAATTACTGCATTCGACTCCCTAATCGTTGACTCAAAACCCAAATTTTACAATACAGTATTCCCACGCCAGATTTCAAGCGGTAAAGGTGCAGCATTGCAATTGCTTACTGACGCGACTGCTGGTAGAGGGGCTTCCACTTTAAGGTATTTGGTCTACTTTTCCACACTGACCAGACGTGTTGGAAGAGACATGAGTACCCACCCTTTACTCCACCATATGCGACTAGCCAATTGGCTGTGGTGTAGCAATTACACGGTCCCGGGTGGACAGAGGTTGAGTGTATTTAAGAAGCTTGACCATTGTATGAACTGTCGATTGTACTGTGCACACATTAGCCCAGAGCAACTGGAGTTTCTCAAGATATCCCTTACAAAAAAAACCGGACGAGAGATCACGATCGGATGCATCAATTAGGAGTATCACTCAATTAACTTAAAGAATAAAACCATGGTTTAGGGGCCAGTTACCTTAAACTGTTTTGGCACGTTTCACCAAAAACGTCAGCGCACAGCATTTCAACGAGTCACACATTTGTCGAGTGTATATCGTTTATTGTTAAATTTGAATCAAAGTTCCTATGATTACTGTTGTTACATTGTATTTGAAAGCTTTATTTTGGTGATTTCTAAAACATATGGTTAAGCCATGTTTCTTGCGGAAGTGCGGAGTTGGCCTAGTAACTTGAATCTAAATTGTCTTATGGTTGCTATTGTTTGTCTTGCATCACACTGGGATTTTTGCACACAGCGTTGTAATACGGTGGGTTTTTTTTCTTGAAGATTTGCTGATTTATGCCAGGATGTTTCTGTTGCGCGTCGTCGCTTTAAGATGTTTCTCTGTTCATATTTTTGTTTGTTGCGGTTGCACCCGACTCGAGAGCCGCATGGCTCACAGGGCTATACCTAGTACATGAAACTTGAAAGCTCCAGGCTGTGAATGCGCATAACTTAACCCAGGAGACCTTAAACAGCTGATCCCCAAAACATAAACAAGAGGGCTATAATCTGTAAATCATAAAACAGACGTGGGTTAATTCTAGATTTAAAGCTTTCGTGACTGCTAGGATCCATACTCTTTGGTTCTATTAGGTGAAAATAAAATAACAAAAAATCACGACGTTTCGGCCACAACACAAGCGGCCTTTATCAGGTGAAGGGACGAGACTGTCTGGAGGGCAGCGCCAGACAGGCTCGTCCCTTCACCTGATGAAGGCCGCTTGTGTTGTGGCCGAAACGTCGTGATTTTTTGTTATTTTATTTTCACCTACGTGACTTTACCCAATAGAACCAAAGAGTAAAGACGTGGGTCAATTTATAATTACAATCCAAGTCGCATTGTCGGCTTAATTTACGACGTGATTTCAATAAATTACGAACAAGACCATTCTAACATATCCATGATATTCAATCCCCTTAAACCTCTCGACCCCAAACTTCTTGCACCTGAACAAACCCCTACAGGAAACCACAACGGAGCACAATGACTAAATCACTAGACAATCACGCACTCGCCTCTAAGCCCGATGTTATTATATTACATATACGTGAACAAAACCTTCGAACTAGAGCGTGACCCCGACCCTTCACGAACCCCACAGACACCGTGGTGCGCCCCAACGCTGCAAACCCGTTGAGCAACAGACCCCCCTAAACCCCTCGACCCAGCGAAGCCAATAACCCCAAAGACACCACCCTTTGTAGGTTTATAACCCACAGATAAAGAGACTCCCACACACCACCCCCTGGACCTCCGCAGGCCCCCACTCCCCCCCGGGTCGGTTCTCACCTCTTCCCGGGCAGAGGCGGCAGCCAAGGGCCCCGCGCCGGCCGGCAGCGCGCGGTCGCCTAGACGCACAAAGCTGCCTCGCTTCCAATGCTAAATAACAAATCACCACTCTCCCGCACGTGCAGTACTCAAATATAATTTAAAAAAATGTACACAACTAACCCTTTCCCCCCCCACCCCACAATATATAAAAAAATACCCCCCCTCCTCCTCTAAATATAGTAACGATAATGTGTTAAATATCTCCGGCTCGAGCTCCTCCCGCCCGCGCAAGCCGCCCGGCTCCACTGCGCGACAAACAAAGCGCGCCGAGCACTTTCCCGCCAGTCGCGCACCGCCCCGTCACGTGGTGCACGCGCAACGAGCTCGGGGCGGCGGCGGCGGCGGTGGGGTGGGGTTGTTGGGCTCGCCCGGCGAACGCTCCTCCCTCCCTCCCCCCAACATAGCCGGGTGTGGGGTGGGGTAACTCAAAGCCGCGCGTGTATTGGACGGTAGGCGGCGAGGAGGAGGAGTTTAAAGGCGTGGTGAGGGGTGGGGTCACGAGGAGACGAGCGGGCGCGCGGGAAGGCGAGACAGCGCCGAGTTGGCCCAGACAGGGGAGTTAGCGGCCTGGTTACCGTGGGGCGGGGGAGACACGGGGGCAGCTATGGACGTGGGGTTGGGGGGGGGGTTATAGACGTGGTTAATGTGGGGGATATAGACGTGGTTGAGATGGCGGTAGGGGGGGTATGGACGTGGTTAATGTGGGGGTTATAGACGTGGTTAATGTGGGGTTATAGACGTGGTTAATGTGGGGTTATAGACGTGGTTAATGTGGGGTTATAGACGTGGTTAATGTGGGGGTGGAGGTTATAGACGTGGTTGAGATGGGGTGGGGGGTATGGACGTGGTTAATGTGGGGGTGGGGGTTATAGACGTGGTTAATGTGGGGGTTATAGACGTGGTTAATGTGGTGGTGGAGGGAGACGTATTTTAGACGTGGTTAATGTGGGGGTTATAGACGTGGTTAATGTGGTGGTGGAGGGAGACGTATTTTAGACGTGGTTAATGTGGGGGTTATAGACGTGGTTGAGATGGGGGTGTATAGACGTGGTTAATGTGGGGGTGGAGGGAGGCGTATTTTAGACGTGGTTAATGTGGGGGTTATAGACGTGGTTGAGATGGGGGTGTATGGACGTGGTTAATGTGGTGGTGGTGGAGGGAGGCGTATTTTAGACGTGGTTAATGTGGGGGTTATAGACGTGGTTGAGATGGGGGTGTATAGACGTGGTTAATGTGGGGGTGGAGGGAGGCGTATTTTAGACGTGGTTAATGTGGGGGTTATAGACGTGGTTGAGATGGGGGTGGGGGTGTATGGACGTGGTTAATGTGGTGGTGGAGGGAGGCGTATTTTAGACGTGGTTAATGTGGGGGTGAAAGGTTATGGATGTGATTGAGATGAGGGCGGTGGCGCCTCGTTAATATTGGGGGCAAGGGAGGAGGAGGGGGGGTAACAACATTGTTAAGGTCTCAGTTGGGGGACGGTGGGGGAGGGGCGAGGGTGGGGGGCGGTGGGGGAGGGGGGACGGTGGGGGAGGGTGGGGGAGGGGGCAGCGCGCGCGCGCCGAGAAACCGTGAGCGCGGGAAAAGCGTCGCCCTGGCAACGCGGCCCTGAGCGTTCTTTATTGCGACGTTATGTTTGTTATGAATACTACGATATCGATTCTCGTCTATACGACAGTTAATGTATTTATGTGTATGTGTGCTGTATAAATAAGTATGTATGCGGTGTGTGGTGTATTGGTAGAAAAGTGATAATTGGACAAGACCCTTTGCTCATAATCCAATGAATTACACAAATTTATAAAACAGCTTCATAGTACCGCGCGTGTTTGCTATGCAGTCTACGATCGACCATTAATATACATTTTATATTGTGAGTTAACAGAAGACGGAACTCAAATAAGCAATCGCAGACACTCCGATAACCTTCACCCTCCCCCCATGGCCACACCACGCATCGTCAATTCTCCATCAGATACAGAGGATCCGTACTAATTCCTAACTTCACATTGACAAAATATAAACATTCCTCAATAACTTAAAGCATAAACTACGGGTCAGCCTGATGACCCACAAACTACCCAGGAGTTTCTATGTAGCCTATAACTCTCACATATATACGCACACCAAACTATAACCTGTTCATTGAACGCTGAATTTAACACTGATTTGAAGCTTTCGTGACTGCAGGAATCCATACTCTGGTTCTTTCGGTAAAGTCACGTAGGTATAAAATAAAAAATCACGACGTTTCGGGCGCAACACAAGCGTCCATCATCAGGTGGGAAAGCGATGGTCTGCTGCTGAGCCAATGGGTGTAGCCCAAGGGTCATAAAGAAGTGGGCGGGGCTAGTGATGTTAATGTGAGAGATTCGCATGATGTTAATGTGAGAAATTAGAGGACACGGATTGTGGCTATGTTAATGTGAGAGATTAGCGTGATGTTAATGTGAGACAGAGGGCACGGAAGTGGCTATGTTAATGTGAGCGATTATCATGATGTTAATGTGAGAGATTAGCATGATGTTAATGTGAGAAATTAGAGGGCACGGAAGTGGCTTTGTTAATGTGACTGATTAGCATGATGTTAATGTGAGAAATTAGAGGGCACGGATTGTGGCTATGTTAATGTGACTGATTAGTATGATGTTAATGTGAGACATTAGAGGGCACGGAAGTGGCTATGTTAATGTGATGGATTAGCATGATGTTAATGTGAGAAATTAGAGGGCACGGATTGTGGCTATGTTAATGTGACTGATTAGCATGATGTTAATGTGAGAAATTAGAGGGCACGGAAGTGGCTATGTTAATGTGAGCTATTAGCATGATGTTAATGTGAGAGATTAGAGGGCACGGAAGTGGCTATGTTAATGTGAGAGATTAGCATGATGTTAATGTGAGAAATTAGAGGGCACGGAAGTGGCTATGTTAATGTGAGCTATTAGCATGATGTTAATGTGAGAGATTAGAGGGCACGGAAGTGGCTATGCTAATGTGAGAGATTAGCATGATGTTAATGTGATAAATTAGAGGGCACGGAAGTGGCTATGTTAATGCGAAAGATTAGCATGATGTTAATGTGAGAAATTAGAGGGCACGGAAGTGGCTATGTTAATGTGAGAAATTAGCATGATGTTAATGTGAAACAGGGCACGGAAGTGGCTATGTTAACGTGAGAGATTAGCCTGTAACAGACTGTTGGGGCAAGTGCTGTTAGCGAGTTGCACCTATGAAGGCTGGCACGGCACACGTGGGGGTGGGTGGCCAACACCGCGCCCGGCCGCCTTTGTTTCCCCAGTAGCGATGTTTACACATCGCACCAGGTACTAATTTGAGGCTGAGTCGACCTAAGGGAGGCCCAGGACCGGTTCAGTAATGGACACGGGCAAAGACAATTGAACATGTGAAAAATTCGCACGCAAGCATAGAGCAGCTTATTCTTGGAATTACAATGAGAGAAAACAGATTGAGAGAACAAAACTCATGTTAGAGACTTCACATTTACGGTTACGACATGTTAGTGGGAATTTGGTGGTCGAGACTAATATTGGATTGGCAGCCAAAGGATGGGTTATGCCTCCCAGCAGACGTATACCCCGGAGATGGAGCGACGAAACCATCTCGTGCGCAAGCACTTGGTGGATGATGATGATGAACATGTACAATCCGGCCAAATTACAGCAAGAAACAGATTGGATTCGGTTTTAAATTCGGATTTACGATTTATTCGTACTCAGAACTATCACTGTGATCTCCATAATGGCTGGTTGCCTCCTGCTATCGATAAGAGAAACATATACTTTGGGATATAAATATGCCTTTAAGCCATCTACAAATAAATCATTCCCGATTGTAGCGAGTTTACTAACCCTACAATCATACCCTTAGGTATCCTCCACGATATATTTACGTTGCTTTAAATCTGTATTACGATGTTCCGTATTTACCGAGGATCTGTTTGAAAACGAGACTTTTAGTCTAACCTTGTTTTAAATGCAGTAATGAATGACTACCCAATTTTTTTTATTCTATCGTTCTTTCGGTAAAGTCACGTGGATAGAAAAAAAATAACAATAAAGTTCCTGATGACGACCGTTTGTGTTGCGATCGAAACGTCGTGATATTTATAATTATTTGTATACACTTTATTTTTATTATTTTATTATTATTTTTTTCTATCTACGGCACTTTACCGAAAGGACCATAGAATATGAATTCCTGCAGTCACGAAAGTTTTAAGTAAAAAACAGACTACCCAATTGTTATGGCCCACGACACGTTGCCCTGTTGTGCCCCCTGGTGGCAGTAGTCAGCACTTGGCGCTCTTGTGGTGGTGGATGAAGCAGAAAAAAATTACTCTAATAATAATGATACCCTTCCCCCCACATACAAATATAAACCCTTTTTTTATACATCCCATCAGCCACACGGGCCTTCTGGGAGTGCATAATTTCAGCAGCATTAACCTAACGCGTATGCGTCTCGCAGCCAATACAGTGTAATGATTTATAATTGATGTTTTGGGTTAGGCTACATAGTGATTTGACTCGAGAACCTGTATGACTTTCTCGAGCAGGGGTGGCCACCCTGTAACAGACCAAGAGCCAAAAAGTCCCCGTGAGTTCTGCAAAGAGCCAACTGTATATGTATTATATCACACAACTTTCATTCATTATTCCTTAGCTGTCAACCCCTTGTCCGTGCCTACCTTATTACAGACCAATGCATGCCTTATTGGTCTCCCCGTGCCCTTATAAATCTCAACGTTCATCCTAAAAAGTCCCATCACAAGGGAGAAACACAAATAGATATTTTGTTGTTGCCGTATGGACTTGAAAACTAAAATTTCCTGTACAAGAATAGTGTAACTTTTAGATTTACAAGGGCACGGAATGCGTGCCCTTATAACAAGGCCATAGCCATGGAGTCAACATTGGGGGGAGGGGCAAATCTTCCACGGTGTCTGGAGGTCCCAACCGAGAAAAATATCTAAATTTGAAAACTCATTTCCTGCCTAAAAAATAAAAAAAAAATTCACTAACACATGGGATAGACTTTTTATTTATTTTTTTACAATGTATAATAATAATTGTATTATATTGCTCTGTTTTTACTTTTTTTTTACCATTTCTTGTTTCATTGTATGTAATGGCAGAGATTAGGGATTAATAAAGTACAACCATAACCACAATCATATAAACAGAAATCTATGCATTGATTTATATGAAGACAAGTCCAGATATTGTGACCAAGGTTTAGCAAATTGTTGTTTTTTATTTACACAGCATAGCAAAAAATGTTTTATAGCAATATATTGGAGGGGGGGGGACATTTTGAGCATATTTGAATATTGGGGGGGGGGATATGTAGAGGACAATATGTTCTCCCCCCCCCCCCACAATATCTATTAGAATTACGGCCTTGCCTTATAAATCTCAAAGGTTTTAATGTTTGTAATAAGGTAGTCAGTGATAGGGGTGTTGACAGCTCTGAATGTAACCTCAGGACACTGGGACCCGGTCGCTCCATCCCAGCAGGTTGCCAAGATCGCCGCTCTGACCTCTACGGAGGCGTACGACCGTCTCAATCGCCGCGCGTATTCAGGCCGCGGCGAGCGCCGGTAACTTGTTGGCACCGCCGTCGTCACGGTGTTTTTAAAGCTGTCGATGCTAAAATAACGCGATTTAAAAAGTATCGCTTTTTGCTGTTGTTGTTTAACGGAGTCGCTGCGCGTCGCGTTGCTATGGTGATGCGAATGCTCAACGCTCGCTCCGCGCCGGAGTGTATCAATCCGCCGGCCGTTTCATTCATTTCGTTATTGTTAAGTTAGGAGAAAAAAACAACAATCCGAATGACTACAAAATAGACGAGAGCCGAATACGTTTTTTTTAAATCTATTAAAAAGGAATATAATTCTTATATATAATTCTTACGAGTGTTTTTTTTTGTTTTTTCACGAGACGCTTCAAAGGTTGGAACTATTTGCGCCGGGCGGATTGCTGTGGCCGCGGAGAAGGCGGCGCCGCGGTGGCCGCGCGTCTTCGCCGGCCGGTTAACGTCGCGGAGACGGCCGCGGTTTAACAACTTTTTTTTATATATAAATTATATTACAGTCCGAATAAATTATCGCGATAAACTACTTGCCGGGTTACACTGGGTTGTTGTTGTTGCTGCTGCTGCTACGTGCCGCCGTTCCAGCGCTTGTGCGAGGCGATAGGGGGTGAGGGGGCTGGGGGCGCCCGAGTGAGCTGGCAGCTTTTGCGGGTTTGGTCTTTCTCGGGGCCCACAGAGGCATGGGGATTCAAGTTAATGGTTTTGGTGACCCAGACGAGGAACTCGAGAGTGACGAGGAGGATAGCCTCGCTTGCAAGTGCGACCTGGGTTAGCCGTGGACTCTGTGTAAGGTTCGGGAGGGGGGGGGAGTTTTGGGGACTTTGTCCACGAAACCCCCCGTCACTTAACTCTTAACACACCTTCACCCTGTCTCTAACCCGTACTCCGTAACTCTCTGACGTCTCTATCCCTGACCCTATTTCTAAAACTGACCGTACAGCCTTAAACCGGTATCTAACCATTTTTAATTACTTTGGTTCTTTTGTTGCTGGATTAGATTTTTTTTCCGCCGAGGTTGCGATCGAAACTTCGTTATATATTTTTTGCTACCTACGTGACTACCGAAAGAACCAAAGAGTATGGGTTCCTTCAGTCGCGAAAGCTTCAAATCAAGATTTTATAATCCCATTACTCAAACCCTATCTAACGCAAACTCCCTAACCTTGACTCTGACCCAAAGCTACATAACTCCCCTCTTTCAAACTTAAAACTTTCTCTCTGTACACATAACCGTACAACCCTAACTCTCCATCACCCTGATTTCTCCCTAACCTTCTCCAAAAACTGTTACCAACGCCATAACCATAGCCCGGTTACTAATCCTGAGTCTAACCCTGCTCCGATCCTTATTTCTAAACTTTTCAATAAACTTGCCCAATCTTGTCTCAAACCCTGACCTTAACCCCATCTTATCCTCGTATAAATCCTCGTCTACAACTCCCATTCATATTTACCTAACACAATACACTCGTCTCGAACTTAAACGTAATTACATTTATAATTTACGCTCATCCTTACCATTACTTTAACACTGTCTAAATGTATCCCTGAATGTAACTAAAGTCGACTGTTACCACTTAACAGTGCAGTACCTCTCAATATAACATCGTTCAATGATTGTACTGTAGAGTATATGATAATTATAACACTTAACCGTAAACCCTAACCATCCCTATGCACAAAATCTAATTCTAGTTGCAATGCTTATCCCTAAACTTAGCTCTACCCCAAATTAAACGGTATTTACAATTTATCACTAAACTTAACTCTTCACCCTTTCACCAACTCTAATTAGAGTCTGAACCCTATACTGTTAATAGTTGTTTTGGTTGACCAGTTCTTGTGGTTGCACTGCTACACAGTGGGCACCTGCATGATCCCCCGGCACTCAGTCATTTAACATCTGCCGCGTGCTTGCTCATTGAGAGTGGTCGCCACGGTTGCTGGTGACACTTGTTAGATTACAGTTCTCCCTTTGAAAGCGAGTAGGTTCCGGGACCATGGTGCGGTTGACAGCTGAGCTGATCGGCCGGAGCGAGCAACACGTGCGTAGGAGGCGGGCAGAGCCCCTGGCACTCTACCTGGGCAGACTGACGCACCTGCACCTGGGAGAGAAGGACATCGAGCATGTGGTACTATATCAGCAGTATTGCCACCACACTACACGGCACCGTCATCGCTGTGCTGTGCTGGTCTCCGAAAAAATATTACAATTACTAAAAATTCCACCAATAACATCACCACAGACATCACCAACTTCTTCACAGTTACAACTAAGTATGACTGGATTTAAAGCTTTCGTGACTGCAAGGATTCACACTCTTTGGTTTTTTCGGTAAAGTCACGTAGGTAAAATAAAATAAATGAAAACTAAATTAAATCACGACATTTCGGAGGCAAAACAAGCTTCCGCCTTCAGGTGGAAACCGTCACAGCAAAATTGCCGTATCAAGTCACTTGATACAAGTCACTTGATACAGCAATTGCTGCAATTGCCAAACAGAAACGTAACGACCGACATCAACATGAATACAATCATAATCACTATCACATAGTCATTATCACTCTATCTGGTGTCCCTGTTCGAATCCAGTGGCCGCCCTGATTATTACTGTGGGTGTAATAATCATAATACAGTACACCAAACCCTTGCCCATCGCGGGGGTTACGTTCTTGAAAATAGCCGCAAAACTCAAAGGCGAATTGGGAAAACTTAGGTTTTGTTCCCAGTTCATAATTTGACACCCCCTCCTTTTGTTTTATGTTACCCTACATTTTCTACAGTGTTGAATATAACTTGTAAAGTAAATGTGTTGAGGTGTAAAGGCGACACGAAGAGCAGTCTTTGTGGGGGCTGACGCCAAACTGTTTATTATGGGCTTTCCACCGAGGTTTAGGGGAAGGGGTAACACAGGACTTGGCTAAGCTAATCTCCCCAGGGGAAAGGGGATTGAGAATCCCTACACCTCCCAGGCTAACGGGCTCCTCCCACAGCGCTGACCGATGGTTCAACCAACTCGGCCAGCCGGGTAAAGTAGCCCTCCCCTAGCCTGGTGCTACTTCTCCCCTACCCTGGGTCCCCACTTCCCTACCGCTCACAAACCCGGTTCCTGGCGAAGACCCCGAACACGTCACGGGTTCCCCCTCAAATACCCCGAGGGGACATGACGTCACTCCTCCCGAGGCGAATGTGACATCCTGTCACCACTCTACTCCTCAACAAATGTATAGAATGGTCACCCTTGTAAATAAGACTATTCTGGTCTCTTGAGTTATCACGTGGTTTAACAAAAATAAACTTGGACAATTGTAAGCTATAATCAGTAACATCAATCCCAACATTACCACCGACAAGATGACCATAATTACTATAAGCATCAGTAATATTACAACCACCGACATCACTACCAACATCAATAAAACTGCCACCAACATCATTATGAACATCAGCAATATTACCACAGACATCATTAACAGTATCACTTAACTCTGTCTCTCACCATCACTACCAACTCCAGCAATATTACTACAGACATTACCATAGTCCAACTACCACAATTGGCACTTCGACAACAACATCACCACCATCCCAACAACATCACCACCATCTAACCCCATGAGAGCGCTGCTGGCTGAAGCATGTGACGTTCGTTCTCCAGGAGGATTTGTCGGCGTGCCGCAACCTTGCCGTTCTCTACCTCTATGACAACCGGCTGAGCCGCATGCCCAACCTGGCCTTTGCAAGCCACCTGACGCACCTGTACCTGCAGAACAACGCTCTGGAGCGCATGGAAGGCCTTGCCAGCCTGCGACACCTCTCCAAACTGTATGCCATCTGACGATAAACTTCTTACACCTCTGCATCCCACTTTTCACAGAGTGTGTAGGCACAGTTAGTTATGTCCTAATATTAATTGTGTCCAGGCACAAACAGCCCTTTTATCTATCCACTACCTGATGAGGGCCCCCCCCCACATAGTAGATGAGGGAGCACAGAAACATAGTAGAACATTCATTTATCTTTACTGTTCTCTGCTAGTAAACCTGCAGCCTATAATAACCTTTTCTCCATGGGTGTTTCTGATCCAAGCATTATCCAGGCCTAACTTTGCTTGATTCCTAAGAACTGACAAGATTGGCTGCATTTCAGATGACCTGGTCATAGCCACAACACAAATAGTTTTGTAATGAATAAAGAAGCCATAAAAAACAACCTATCCAAGCTATACTTCTATAGGTCACAACACTGGACCAGTTATCCATCTAATCTATAAAAGTCGTCATTAACTTTCTCAGAAGCACACGAAGACTCACGAGGATCTTGTTTTAGATGTTTCGTGAATTGTATGTTGAGCATCTTTAAATTGGACACGAAACCAGAGTACTCGGAGAAGAATTGCACATGGGAGGGTATAAAATAAAACTCTAATCCAGTAACATTTTAATGCTTGATAAATTAAAATTATATCCGTAATGCTGTGTCCACGCTGCCACGGAGCCACTTTCAGTTTGATCCTGGCATGGACCACAGGTACCTTGGAGGCAATTCCATCTCCGTGGTGGAGGGTGTGGAGATGTTGAGCGAGCTCACGGAGCTACATCTGGAGAACCAGCACCTGCCACCTGGGGAGAAGCTGCTGTTTGATCCTCGCTGCCTGTCGACCTTGGCTGTGAGTGTCACATTGTCAAGCCCACAGTGCCACCCAGCGTTTGTGCTCTACCAAAGCTTCAAGGGCCCCTATCGTGCAGTTTGGCGCAGGGTTGGGCTCAAGGGCCAATGCACCCACACGATCATGCCCTGGCAGCTGGAACTCCAGAACTGAGCCACCAAGCTCCCTGCTCAATCCGAATTGCACGCATTTGCCCAGGCCGGCTGAAGAGCCAGTCGCGCTGTCACGGAGTCGACATGGAAATGAACATGCACATCATGATGACACATCAACTTAACACCAATGTTCGTGTTCAAAGTATGTGATGCAAAATGTAGTAATGTGCCCACATTAAATTTAATTTAAAAAAAAGTATTTGTGAAGAGCACATGCCAATAACTGTGACAATGCATTTTTTAATTAATAAAGATTGATCAGCAAATGTATTATTTTGTATATCATGGAATTAAGCAAATGATATGATTCTACGTTTAGGCTAACAGAGCAAACAAAACTGTACATACAAGACAGAAAAACAATGCAAGATGGTAAAAACAAGGTTTTTTTTTTTAATCCTTGAATCACATCGTGACTTTGAACCACGAGTCTGCAAATTGCCAAGGGGACAAGTCGTTGCACCTGTATGGGCCATGGTGGGTAAGGGGGAGGTGGGAGAACGTAGCTTGACAGGCTGAGCCCTTGGAGACTCGTAACTCAATGAGCGTGAGGATTCGGCCATTCCTGGGCCATTCCTGGACCGGTAGAGCCCGATTCCCAGTGGTTGTAGAAATGATGAATCATTGACGGCAGCTCATAGTGCCAGATTTTAGCAGTCTAAAAATGTCCAAGGTTTTGCAGTCTTTGGTCACACATGCAGTTAGTTAAATTGATGGCTGGAACGTGAAGGCAACGTGATAATGCGCTAGAGTGCTGGGCACCCACCTGACTAGTCTTTTTTATGGAAAGCTGTGTCAGGTGTAAAAAGCACTGCTGTCACGTTCACCTGAATGCATCACCTGAGACCGGAATATTCGAAGCAGAATACGTAGCTCTCTTAAACGGAAGCACCGAATCACTATGTCTGTCACTGCTGGCGTGTTTCCATCATTGCCAATTTTTTGCATCACGCCATCCCTAAAAAAAGGTTATGGGAAAATATTTTTGGGAATTAAATAGATGCTGCTTCAGCAATCTTATGTAGGTAGAATGTATTTAATATCCCATATTTTGTCTTGATTTGCACACATTTTGTGATGTGTGGAATGTGATAGAGTAGGGGGAGCAGCGTGGTATAATGGTTGATGCATGGCTATGAAACTGTGAACCTGAGTTCAATTTCTGGCCACGGATAACATAAGTTGAAAGTGAGTCAAACCTGGGCGGATCAGCATGGTAAAGTATGGTTAAATAACCCTCATGACCGATACGGTGTGGGGGAGGCTATCATCCAGCAGTGGATTGACATAGGGCTGTGAGTGAGAGTGGGAGAGTGCAATTAAAAGAAGAGACAATTGACCACCTACTTACACTCCCTCTCTCCCTCAATTCACACCCAGTCCCATGCCATATCCGTAGTTATGGACAAGGAGAAATCTGACTTGTCTGAAACAGACAATGGGACAAGATAACAAACGTAGAATGTACACCTTGACAAGATCTGTTTTATATGTGTTTAGCATGGTTGTTGAAATGAATACATAGTATTAAATACAAAAAAATAAGTGGGAGTTTCTGTGGACAATGTTCAACTTGCTGGTAATTTTTGCAGGTGCCCCTGTCACACTCAAAGCCTATTCTGGCTTTTATCACAATTGCCACCATCTCGGTCCCCTTGCCCCACATTGCAGGGCAGCCTGTGTGTCCTCAACGTGAGCGGGAATGGCCTGGAGGAGCTGCAGGAGCTGACCTGCTTGAGTCATATGATGCAGTTCATGGCCTGTGAAAACCAGCTCACTGACCTGCAGGTAAATGATAATAAGAATGATAACACACAGAGAATTTCTCATACATAAATGACCATGACTGAGGCATGGAGCCAAGCTCCAGTAATGCCCCTGCAGCTCAATGTGTAATGTAGTTATACTGCTCCGTTTATTTTTGTGTTTGTGCAGTATAGCGTCTGATATGTTTTCGGAATGTACGTTGTGGGAGCTTAAATTCAGTTCCTGAAGAATCTTCCTGCACCTGAAGTGAAATATTGGACATAATGTCAAACAGCATGAGGTACAACCCGAAAAGACATCAGAGATGTATAGTCGTAATCTTTCACGTATTACCCAAGAAACGTCGCTGACGCTTCAGGGCTTATTTTCATGATTAGTGGCCAATTGGTTTCTGAGTATTTTTTACATGTGAGAGGCAACCAGAGTGTGCACAGAAAGCTTAATTAAATAATTCTTTACTGCTGCAAAGATATTTCTCCTATGATCCATTGGAGTGATCAACTAATGTTATTTAGTGCATGTTCTTTCACTAAATTATTGCAGTTGTTAATCACTAACCTTTCACAGCAAAAATATCAACTCATTTAATGCAACCATTTTGACCAAAATGTTTCAAACACACATGTTTGAGGTGAGATATAATTTTATTCATTTCTTATGAAGTTTAAATATTACTTTACATTCGTGATTTAGTCACATTAGTTTTACATATTAAAAAAGTAGAGCCATTCATCATATTCATGATTACCATTGTCTTATCACAGATTGTTTTTAATGCATAATAGGCTAACGTTCCAGGCAACGCCCTTTCCTCACAGTTGATGGCCAATGCTTGAAATATTAGATTATAATTTTTTAAGTTAAAAGGCCGTTTGAATGAGAAAAGTATTAAGTTTGTTTTATTTTACTTGTGCACCACTGGCAACGGAATCCCATAATAATTTTTTTTTAAATGTGCGCAATTAAAAGTTAGTATTTTCTGTGAACCTGCCGCAGGATCTGGCAGACGTACTGACTTGCTGGCCCAAGGTTTGGAGGCTGGAGCTATTGGGGAACCCCTTCTGCCAGAAGCCCAAGTACAGGGATCGTGTCATAATGATGAGTGCTTCCCTGGGTGAGCTGCCAATACTTGGAAAGGGGAAGCTTGCATATCAACACACCATCCTCAACATATAGAAGTAATACATTTTTTTAAAACACTAAGCCGTAGCAATTTTCTGAATGCTTCTCCATGATTAGAATTTTTTTTTAAACTCACCACCTTCATTATGAACATTGTAATTGAAATATGCATCTTGTAAGATGATGTTAATCATGAAAATGGTGATATTTGTACGTGTACACCACTGCCAATGCAGTCCTTACATCTTCTTTGGTTCTTTCGGTAAAGTCACGTAGAATGAGAATAAAATAATAAAATAAAATAACACAATAAAATTCTCACGACGTTTCGGCCACAACACGAGCAGCCTTCTTCAGGTGAAAGAACAGAACTGCCGGGACGACAGAGCTTTAATTAAAGCTGCTAAGATTCGAAGCGTCTTTTTAAGCTCGGTGAGAGGCGCGGCGAGCCTTGACTTACCGAAAGAACCAAAGAAGATGAATCCTTGCAGTCACGAAAGCTTTAAATCGAAATTCAGTCCTTACATGTTTTATTTGTCCACAATGATATGTTGGAAGTGTTTGTATACACGATAAATCCCATTGATGATTCATGCACTGAACTGTCGTTTTGCTTTCGTCATGAAAAATATTAACATTTTAATCATAAGATGCATTTGGATGTAATGGTGGCCGCACAGATTTCCCTTGGCTCACCTCTATGGACATTTACAACACGGTCTCCTGAAAACCATGATGCGGCACCATTTGTGTTGATGATGTGTTTCCCAGACATCCTGGATGGAAAGGAGATCAAAGAGAGTGCTCGCCAATTCCTCCTCAATTGGAAGGCTTCGCGGGAGGCGAAGAGGAAAGCTCATGAACAAATGTCGACATTTGGAGAAGCCAGTGGAGATCTGGTTGTGCAAACAGGTGAAGCTGTGCATTGCATATCAGCAAAGCTTTATTGCTAGGGAGATAGTTTAGGAGTACAGCAAACCCTTAATATTCGCGGGTTGCATAATATAGGTTTTGCGTATTTGTTGTAGCGCTATTTCAAATTCGCGCAGTTTTTTTAAATATTGGCAGCCGTAGCATGCTACTACCCGATAAGAAGTTCTGTACTGAAGTGAGGCATGGGAGCTGCGTTGACCGTGAGTCCACGGAAAGTGCCCACGTCTGCCGCACTGTTTACAAGCGAAGTGCCTTGCTTTATAATTTTCTGGAATTATGTACTACGTTATTGATAACCATGGCCCCTGAGCGAAGAGAAAGTGACATCTTTAAAGGTAAGTTTAAATAATACCGTATAATATTCATGTATTCATTGCTATTTGCACTTTTAAATGTTTATGTTCCTCATTAAAGGTAAGTTAACACAATACAATAGATTTACAGTAATTGTTAATACAGGTAGTCCTCTACTTACGATGGAGATGCCTTACGACGACCCCAACGTAAGTCAAAAAATATCGTAAGTCGAAGATGGCCTAGCCCACCCAGGAGTCTTAAAGAATGGTGATAATTTAGCAAAACAGAGCAATTTACAGTACCGTACTGTATAAACTATATACTGTATGTATTTATTAATTACAATACTGTATTGCACGGTAAAATGTAAAGTAAAAAACCAAGGTAAATTCTTAGCCTACCTGCAATTTAATAGAAAGTGTTTTCAGGAAACAATCCTATCTGCTATAAAAACTTTTAACATGCATTGAATGTATCGTATCGTGGTAACCCTAAAATGAAATCGCTAAAGCTACGTATCATATACATGCATTGAACGTATCGTAACGTATCATATTCTACTGTACTCACCAAGATTCTGTCCGTCGTCTGCATTCTTGAACGATGTTAGGTTGTTGATGGCTACATTAACTTAGTTGTCGGAAGAGGAGGATGGCGATGATAAAGTTACAGTATCGTACCTCGTACGCTGCTGCGTTTGCCTGCCGCGCGAAATTTAAAATATTTTACAATTTTGTCGTATCGCTCTCGCCATCGTAAGATCTAAATATCGTAAGTCGGACCATCGTAACTCGGGGACTATCTGTATATACATACATTTTATGAATTTGTATGTTTATATGTTGAACTTGTTTCGTACCATACGTAGCCAACTGTGCCAATCGGCGATGCGTGAAACTAATATGCTTATGCCTCCGAATACTATATTTATCATAAGCTTTAAGTATTAATATTCGCGGAATTGATTTTTGCGCTGTTCTCGAGGACCGTACCCCCGTGAATATTAAGGGTTTACTGTACTTCTGTCTTGGCAATTTAGTTGTAAAAGTTAAAATCAATCTAAGATGAGACTGTGGAAGTCGACTGAGCTTGGATTCACAGTGGTAATGGTGATGTTGAGCTGGGTTACATCATTATAAAAATTAATGATGCTCGACATTACAACTGGAGATGATTGTGCCAAGGAGGAAATATATTTATAACAGCAGGTGGCTGAGGATAATATCAGCTGTGTGGTACACCATAGCTCAGGAATGTCTGAGAGGAAGACTGGTCATTGTATGCAAACATAGGAGGAGCTGTATCAGAGATAAGAGTGGGATCACGAGAGAACTTTGCCGAAGATGCCTTCATAATTATGGAGACACTTAAGGAGAATGGAGTGGTCTATGGTTTCAAAAGCATTGAAAACGTCGATGAGAGCTAAGAGTTAGAACGGCCCACATTCTGAAGAGATAAGAATGTCACTACGCACACATGTAAGAGTGGTCTCAGTAGATTTGCCTTGGCAGAAACCAGATTGCACTGGCATGTGGAGACCATAGAGGGAAAAGTGTAAGACTGCTGCAGTACACCTGTCTTGGCAAAATAGTAATACCAATTACCATTAAAACCCTAGAAATATATACTGGCAAAATAGTAATACCAATTACCATTAAAACCCTAGAAATATATACTGTGTTCGTTTCTCAGTCCGCTTGTCCTGGTGAGGGTCGCGGCAGTAGCCTGTTGAGTAGGGCGGTCCAGACTCCCCTTTCCCTGTATTTCCCTGAAATATATACTGGATTTCAAAAGAGATCAATATGCCATATTCTGAGCTCGTTATTGTTCAAGGTAATGATTATGCATATTATAGTCGAGCATTTCTCAATCTGGGTCATGATCTATTGCATGGTATCTTTGTCGTTTGAGAAGGGTTGTTACTCAGTCAAATACAAAAAAAGTGAAGGAATCTGTTTAATAAGGGCCCATCCATTGAGTACATACGCATGGAGGGGGGAGGTTAACCTAAATGCGTACGCTTGCGTATGGGGGGTCTACTGACAATGTACGTACGCATAGGAAACGGGGGGGGGGAGGGTGAAGCCTCGATAATACTTTGTCTACATTGGCCTTCAAATTAGTTAGATAGTCTGGCGGTGGACTATCTGTTTTCTTAGACACATTAATATTATTCATCCTTGATCGTTTCTGCGTGGATTAAATATTGGCCGTTCTATAGGATTCGGGGGGGGGGGGGGGTCAAGCGTACGTACGCAGGTGGGGGGGGGGGGGGGTGTAAAAAGTACGCCTGCGTACAGAGAGGGGGGGAGGGGTCAAATTCTGAAAGATTTTTGCATACGTACTAAATGGATGGCATCTAAGTGACAAAAAAACTTTGAGTCCATCAGCTGTCTGAATAATTAATGCTCAGACATCTTGTGTCCCAATGCTACAAGCATAGTCAGTTAACAATGCAATACCACCCACGCTTTGCAACTCGCTGCCATGGAGGATCGCTGAGTATAAAATAGGCTCTCAAATTGAAAACGGTTTTTCGTCTTTTTTATAACAATCACATTGCAGTTATATTATCGGGATAATAATATGAAGAAAATTCCACATTATTCTTGCAGCTAGCATTGTGCCAACTTGTATCAAGATGATGGCATTCAGAACAGCTTTAGAAGTGGCACACTTTGTATACACCTTGCAAAGACTGTTGCATATCAAACTGAAAATGTTAGTGTTTAAGTGGAAATAAGCCAAATCAAGTGAAAAAACTAATTTAATCTGATGAGTCTTTGCAGAGTCTTTTTTTGTGACTGGGCTGAGACCATCACTTGGCGACACTTGAAAAGCCAGTTTACTCATCGGTGGCTGAAATCCAGATTCAGCGGTACCAGCTCAGTGCGCTTGAAATGATATTAGCCTGCTGAGCTACCAGGCCACCTGCAATTTTTTTTAAAGTTAAAGAATTCAACATTCATTTTTGTAGGAGAGGCCCCATCTGGTGTGTGCGTGAGATCAGATAATCAGCATGTCTCAACTTTTCCCTTCCCGCAGGAGACACAGAGGCCAGGCGGCGCAGCATGCTGCTTGCCCTACCGCAGCACTACATCTGCCCACCGCTAGCCGGGAGCGTCGTCCGTCCACGTCGAGTCACGGCCCCACCACGCAGCTACAGCCTGCCAGCCATAGGCAACAACTAAACATTTAGTGTGTCAGCCATTAGCAGCAACTAAACACACAGCTTCTCAAGTACTCAAGCAACTGGCTGCTGACCATTATCAAAAACTAAACACATTCTTTGCCAACAACTTAATACAGCGTGTCAGCCATTAGCAACAACAAAGCACACACACACACAGCATGTCATCCAGCATGTCAGCCAATAACTAAACAGTCTGTTGTCCATAAGCAACAACGAAACTCTGTCTTTCAGTTTTCAGCAAAATACACACACCAGCAACAACACATGGCCTGGCAGCCATCAGAAGCATTTACACACACGCAATCTGGCTTGGGAGGCAGTGTATTGGTGTAATGACCAAGGCTTTAAGGATTACAGTTTAAAACTGCTGACTTAGCAAGTTTACTGGAAGTGCTGTGATATGTGTTAGTAGTGCATAGACACAATTTACTCTTATCGTTTTTGCAACTCTAGCCTGGAATGAGAAACGTAATGTGCACATTTTGCATTCACATTTTGACGAATCGGATGACACATCTTAATTAGTTTCTTAATTGTTTGCAATGTAAACATTGGTGTGATTTTTTTTCAATATATTAAGATGATATTTGTCGGCAATACATGAAAGTGGCCAAAGATCTCCAGGGTTAAATACGATCATTTGAATGCAGATCAAGCATGACGTGTATAAGCCATTCACGAACATTGAAAGCATCCATTAAATAAGTCTTAACATGTCTCATGAATTATGTTCTTGACCTTGATATGTTGAAAGGGCTGCCTGTCAATCGATATTGGCGCTGTGGTGGAGTGATGTTAACTCCCTCACCTGGTATGAAGGAGGTTGTGGGATTGATCTCGACACTTGACGCCTATACATTTGGAGTTTGCATGTTCACCCCGTGGTTGTGTGGATTTTCCTCCGGGTACTCAGGTTTTTCCCTCCACATTCAGAATCATGCGTTCAGAGTATTTGGCTGCTATAAATGTCCACATTATAAGCCACTTTGAGCTTCATTTGTGGCCAGTTCACTTCTGAAAAAGAGCTATATAGCTCTGTGGGCCTTGACTGGAAAAATAAAAAGTCAATAAGGCCGATGCACAATTTACCTTGTTTGCCGTAGCCCTTTATATAAAGTCTGACACTACTGTCCCAGCATGGATGTGATAGTAAAACAGCCTTAGTTTGAACCAATAACTCAAAACTCGAAACCTTACCTCGAAATCCTGATCTCAAGCCAAAAACGCCCAACACTGAGTACTAGCCCTCAGTCCTAATCATAACAAAACGACAGAAGTGACATAACTGCATATTTCATCAACCCTATCAGGTAAATGAAACCCAAAGAAGGCATGCTTTTGGATGGAAATCTGTATATTGATACAAAAAAATTCGGGGACAGTTTACTCTCTTATTTAAAGCAAATAACACGTTTTACCTGTGGCACACTACAGAAAGGGGAGTAGCGTCAAGGATATGCAGTAAGAAAACGTATTTGGAAGGGAATGCCAGGACAACTCTTTCAAGACACGCCAAAAGTGTACTGCTCAAGACGTGCAGCAGGAAAAAAAAAGGGGGACCACCGTGCATAAAGGAGAGGTGGCGGAGAAGGAATGACCGGGCCAAGAAATCTGGGATGATGAATGAAAGGCGGGAGAGAACACAGGGATAGAAAATGAGCACTCAAAAGTCGTCTGTTTTCACGGGGGGCGGGTCGCAGGGAGGGATTGAGAGTGGGTGTGGCCACACACAAGTCACGTGGTTTACGAGGTGCTTGAGCTTAATTTAAATGCTTAAATATAGATGAGCACGGGTCTTATTAAAGGTAGACCTGGTTGACAAAAAAAAACAGTACAGCAAATGGAATGCAGAGTTTCAAAGGTCCTGCAAAATCGATACAAAAAATGAAATACAACTTAATAATTGTATGAAGTGGGATTTAGAGTTGATGTATTTTCAACCGAGGGCTTTAGTTGTGTCTGTGCACCCTTGAAATACTGTACCACTAAAACGATGCTGCATGTCATGTGCAGCACTTTAAAGGGTGTTTGCACACAAAAAAAATCTCGGCAATGCACGTGCACTTTTGATATTTGTAAAAGCTCATCGAGCTTGTAGAATAAACTGTTTGCTCATAATGTTCCGGCTACAAGTCCCACTTAAATCTAGCATGTTCAGCTTCACACTCGTAATGCCATCGATCCGGGAATACCTTGCACTTTGCAATAAACACGAACTCAACCAAGTCTATTGTAATGCAAACTTCTGTAGTGATGGCACTAATACTTTAGAGTTAAGCGGAGCATACCATTACCTGCGCTGGGGGGGTTATCTGTACAGCGTGCAGCAGCGTAGTCCGATTCTTACACTTTAAATCATACTATCACTCCGACGTCACTTACGACACTGGACACAATTAATCTAACCTTCGCTCTGACCGCGTAAGAAAATGTAAGCGTTGACGGGGTTGCACTGTGAGTTTAGTGGTTGGCTCAAGGCGCCCCCATCGGCGAGTGGTACGCGCCGGGCCCGCACTTCTCTTTAGTGTTTGCCATTGTGCGTCGCGTTCCGCGCTCAGTTCACGCAGCCTGACGCCGCTTTACTGGCGCTTCGCGACCACGACGAGTGGTGAGTATGCACCGAGGCGTCGGGGCAGCACCCCGCTCAATTTGGGACGCGTGGCTGCTTTGCCTTTCGCTGCAATCTGCACGCTTTCCCCGAATTTAAAGAGACAAAAAACGGCGAGGACGGCAAATGGCCGACACCCCCCCCCCCAACCCCTGCGTCGCCTGACGGCGCTGCTGGATTTTCCTCGCTCATCCCAGCGGCCGCTCGGGCTGCACCGCCTGACTAGGCCCGAGCCGGTTCGGGGGCGCCCTGGGGGTGAGGTGGGGGCAGGGTGAGGTAGGGGGGAGGCGAGGGGCGGGAGTGGGGGGGGTTGGCGGGGGGGGGTCACTGGAGAGGGGGGTGAGTGGTGGGACAAACAGGGGGCTTGCGTTTAAGTAGTAGTTAGGGTATGAGGATGTATGGAGATGTGGATTTGGGGGGTCTGGGAGGGAGCAAGGAGTTGATTGAGTACTTCATGTGTGGGGGGTGTTGTCTGGGTGAGGATGTCTTAGATGGGTTGTCTGGGTGAGGATGTCTTAGATGGATTGTCTGGGTGAGGATATCTTAGATGGGTTGTCTGGGTGAGGATGTCTTAGATGGGTTGTCTGGGTGAGGATGTCTTAGATGGATTGTCTGTGTGAGGATGTCTGAGATGGGTTGTCTGTGTGAGGATGTCTGAGATGGGTTTTCTGGGTGAGGAGGTCTTATTTGGGTTGTCTAGGTGAGGATGTCTGAGATGTGTTGTCTGTGTGAGGATGTCTGAGATGGGTTGTCTGGGTCAGGATGTCTTGGGTTGTCTGGGTGAGGATGTCTTAGATGGGTTGTCTGGGTGAGGATGCCTGAGATGTGTTGTTTGACTGAGGAGATATGAGATAGGTTGTTTGGGTGAGGAAGTCTTAGGTTGTCTGGGTGAGGATGCCTGAGATGGGTTGTCTGGGTGAGGATATCTTAGATGGGTTGTCTGGGTGAGGATGTCTTAGATGGGTTGTCTGGGTGAGGATGTCTGAGATGGGTTGTCTGGGTGAGGATGTCTGAGATGGGTTGTCTGTGTGAGGATGTCAGAGATGGGTTGTCTGGGTGAGGATGTCTGAGATGGGTTGTCTGGGTGATGATGTTTGAGATGGGTTGTCTGTGTGAGGATGTCTGAGATGGGATGTCTGGGTGATGATGTCTGAGATGGGTTGTCTGGGTGAGGATGTCTTAGATGGGTTGTCTGGGTGAGGATGTCTGAGATGGCTTGTCTGGGTTAGGATATCTGAGATGGGTTGTCTTGGTGAGGATGTCTGAGATGGGTTGTCTGGGTGATGGATGTCTGAGATGGGTTGTCTGGGTGAGGATGTCTGAGATGGGTTGTCTGTGTGAGGATGTCTGAGATGGGTTGTCTGTGTGAGGATGTCTGAGATGGGTTGTCTGGGTGAGGATGTCTTAGTTGGGTTGTCTGGGTGAGGATGTCTTAGATGGGTTGTCTGGGTGAGGATGTCTGAGATGGGTTGTCTGGGTGAGGATGTCTGAGATGGGTTGTCTGGGTGAGGATGTCTGAGATGGGATGTCTGGGTGAGGATGTCTGAGATGGGATGTCTGGGTGAGGATGTCTGAGATGGGATGTCTGGGTGAGGATGTCTTAGATGGGTTGTCTGGGTGAGGATGCTTGAGATGGATTGTCTGGGTGAGGATGTCTGAGATGGGTTGTCTGTGTGAAGATGCCTGAGATGGATTGTCTGGGTGAGGATGTCTTAGTTGGGTTGTCTGGGTGAGGATGTCTGAGATGGAATGTCTGGGTGAGGATGCTTGAGATGTGTTGTCTGGGTGATGATGCTTGAGATGGGTTGTCTGGGTCAGGATGTCTGAGATGGGTTGTCTGGGTGAGGATGTCTGAGATGGGTTGTCTGGGTGAGGATGTCTGAGATGGGATGTCTGGGTGAGTATGCCTGAGATGGGTTGTCTGTGTGAGGATGTCTGAGATGGGTTGTCTGGGTGAGGATGTCTTAGTTGGGTTGTCTGGGTGAGGATGTCTTAGATGGGTTGTCTGGGTGAGGATGTCTGAGATGGGTTGTCTGGGTGAGTATGCCTGAGATGGGTTGTCTGGGTCAGGATGTCTGAGATGGGTTGTCTGGGTGAGGATGTCTTAGTTGGGTTGTCTGGGTGAGGATGTCTTAGATGGGTTGTCTGGGTGAGGATGTCTGAGATGGGTTGTCTGGGTGAGGATGTCTGAGATGGGATGTCTGGGTGAGGATGTCTGAGATGGGATGTCTGGGTGAGGATGTCTTAGTTGAGTTGTCTGGGTGAGGATGTCTGAGATGGGATGTCTGGGTGAGGATGCCTGAGATGGGATGTCTGGGTGATGATGCTTGAGATGGGTTGTCTGGGTCAGGATGCCTGAGATGGGTTATCTGGGTGAGGATGTCTTAGTTGGGTTGTCTGGGTGAGGATGTCTGAGATGGGATGTCTGGGTGATGATGCTTGAGATGGGTTGTCTGGGTCAGGATGTCTGAGATGGGTTGTCTGGGTGAGGATGTCTGAGATGGGATGTCTGGGTGAGGATGTCTTAGTTGGGTTGTCTGGGTGAGGATGTCTTAGTTGGGTTGTCTGGGTGAGGATGTCTGAGATGGGTTGTCTGTGTTAGGATGTCTGAGATGGGTTGTCTGTGTGAGGATGTCCGAGATGGGTTGTCTGGGTGAGGATGTCTTAGTTGGGTTGTCTGGGTGAGGATGTCTGAGATGGGATGTCTGGGTGAGGATGTCTGAGATGGGTTGTCTGGGTGATGGTGCTTGAGATGGGTTGTCTGGGTGAGGATGTCTGAGATGGGTTGTCTGGGTGAGGATGCCTGAGATGGGTTGTCTGGGTGATGATGCTTGAGATGGGTTGTCTGGGTGAGGATGTCTGAGATGGGTTGTCTGGGTGGGGATGTCTGAGATGTGTTGGCTGGGTGAGGATGTCTGAGATGGGTTGTCTGGGTGAGGATGCTTGAGATGGGATGTCTGGGTGAGGACGCCTGAGATGGGTTGTCTGGGTGAGGATGTCTGAGATAGGTTGTCTGGGTGGGGGTGTCTGAGATGTGTTGTCTGGGTGAGGATGCTTGAGATGGGTTGTCTGGGTGAGGAGGTCTTTGTCATTGCTTTGGGTGAGGTGTGGACAGAGAGGGGTCTTGAGTGAGGGGTTGACGAGGGGGGTCTGTGTGACAAGCTCGGTTAATGAAGAGCGTCTGAGGGATTCCTGAAAGGTTCTTGGCATCGAGGTCGCTGAAGGAGCGAGTTAAACGTGGTTAGGTAAGGGATCTGCTGCTCATGGTTTGTACTGGGAGGTGGAGGAGAAAGGATTTGGAGGGGGGGGTAGTCTGATGGGTGTGTAAATGGGGTATCTTCAAAAAGATGGGGGTAGGAGAGGAGGGTTAAATGGGGCCGAGGCAGGAGTCTGGCATTAGATGGGGCTAAGTAGGACATTGCAGTGATATGGTTTAGGAATCTCGAGGGTTCTGGCAGGGATATTGTGGGTGGTGATGGAGTTGTTGGGGTGGTCGATGTTTGGAGTTGGATCTGTCTGTGAAGTCTGATGGAATGAAGCTGCAATTTGGAGTGTAAATGGGCATCATCTTTCTAACATGTAATTCAAATGTGTAATTTAAAGACATTTGTAATTGCAATCTAATTAACGCACCACAAAGTAATTGGTAATATGTGTCTACATTACATTACTCAAATTCTTTGTAATATTAATGTGTTTGGCAACCGATGGGGTCTTATCCAGGGTACATGGTGAGAGAGCGGTTCATAGGGGCAGTGGGGGATTGGTTCTCTGCTGTATGGAGCGGTCCAGGGAAGATGATGATGGAGTCGGTGGGAGCACAGCCGTGATTCATTGTTGTGGGAGAGAGGTAGGTGCTGTCGTGCTATGGAGGTGGCTGATGGGGTCGATGTGAATTGAAGCAGTTGCTTTACGATGTCGGCTTCTACTTAGTTTCGTGAACAGTTGTGGGGGCAGTTTTGCCAGGACTGCCACAATTTGTTGGGGGGTGGGGCTGTGGGACGTGGATGGGTTGTGCTGTGGGAGTTTGAGGGAAAAGAGAGAACTCTGGAGCCATCCTCCGCTCGTTAACAGTGGCACAGGGAGGATGACATCACCTACTTGTGAATGAACCGGACCCGTCTATCTCTCTCTCTCTATCTCTCATTGTGTGTGTGTAGTTCATTATATCTCCACCATCATTTTGCTCGCCGGTTTGCAGCCTCGCAGTCGCATGATTTAAACCATCGAGCACAATTATTTCACATTAATATCGCAGCATGTCAATGTTACCGGTCTCCCTTAAACAAAAATAAGAGACGCGGTATTTGCACGAATGGTTCCCATGCACGATTTCTAATTAAGCATCTGAACACCATGTACAGTGTTCACGTTACAGTCCTTGGATGATATTAATAACAGGGCAGTACAGTATTGTGCGATTCGTGCACATTGTTAAGTGACGAAAATACCGTGTGTGCAGGCGGTAGGTGGATTAGTGCATTGCAGGATTGTAAGAAATGGCAACAGCTTTTGGAAGGCATCTAGTTGTGGATCGGTCATGGCTGGTGATATCGTTAACGTGTCCATAACAGTGTTCAATGACGTAAAAGGCCTTTGAGCTCCATTGCCTTTTTAGGAGTGATGGAGCTTACATTGATTACATGATTTCAGTATACAGTATTTTTTTAAAATGTCAGTGTGGTCTATGAGTGGGGGTTACATTCAGGCCATGAATCCTCTCCATCGTCACCCCATTTAGCTATGTGCCACATCCATGCCTCCTCTCTCGCACTACTTGCGATATCCCTCCACGCACACCCACTTGTTGGTGCGCATTGTGAGGAGGTCGTGGTGAGCCTTGCGGGCTTGCTCACTTTCTCTCATTATAATTAAGTGAGAGACATTGGCCCAAACAAGCATCTGCCACGGTACAAGTTTACTAAGTCTTTTGTGGAAGTATTAAAGCTTTCGTGACTGCATAAAATTACTCATTGTTTTTTTTTCGGTAAAGTCACGTATGTAGGTACATATAATTTTATTGTATTTCTACATACGTGACTTTACCGAAAAAAACAATGAGTAACTTTTGTGGAAGTGTTTTTTTTTTTATAGGACTACTTAGATAAACTGGGAAAAATCACGTAACATTATTATTACACGCCAACAAAAGTCAGGTATTTGAGGCACTGGTACATTTTCAGACTATCTGAATGGACACTGCCAGCATTAGAGCAATCTTAATAATGTTTTCAGGCAGTGGTAATGCATTTTCAAACATTTGAATTTAACTTTTAGTTGTTGCAAAACAGTCCAGTATTGCAGGTACATGCCTAAAAAAAGTTTTAAACTGTAGCCTTTGTCTATCCACTTTTGGATGAAGACTCCCCAAGTTGTGGCCATCCCTCATGGTTCTTTCTGCAATGCTACAATCCATCTCCTGCGAATGAATGGATCTCATCTCTCCACCTGCACATCGGTCGTTCTCTCAGTAATGGAACAACAGTTATTTAAAGGTGGTTTATTTTCAGTGTTTATATTACATGAAAGAGAAATGTAATTGGTCTGCTTGTGCTGAAATATGAATACTCTATATCCTTATCTCCTGAGCCACTGGTGGAAATTCCAAGTTCCTTTTTCATAAATGACAAACGACTGTTGATTTTACAATGCTTTTCCCACAGGACAGTGCGTGTTGCATAGAGCCTGGTTTGCTTTGTGCCTGGAACTACAACGTACACTTACTGACGTGAGATCCACAACTGGAATCTGCGCAGCCACATTGAGATTAAGCCAGGCTTTTATGTTTGAGTGAGTTAGATTGACTCAAATGTAAGTGTCTGGTTTTTCACTGAATTTAGCCCAACCCCATCTCTGCAGGATTATTTTTTTTATCCAAAGACACTTTATACGGTATGTGAAAATAAAAGTCAGCACGTGTTTTTAGAATGGATGGTGGCCAGTGATTGAGACTCACAGATGGGGTGACACACTTGAAAGGTTGTCCTCCACAAAGGTGGCGCAATGAAACAATCTAATGTACAGGTTCTAGGTGGATTGTTAAGATCGTAGGATCTAAGAAAGGGGGTCATGAAACTTGGTGGCTTGAGGAGGCCTTCATCCTGCTTTGCATGAATCATGTCCAGTGGTGCTGGAAGCTTGGTCATTTAGTCATGGTGAGAGGGCTGCTGAATCAAATAGCCCTCTGATCTTTTTTGAAGCCAGACCCAATGAACTAGATCAGTTGCATCAACTTCCGAGGTCCATTTCAAGATGTGATGATGATGATGACGACGACGACGTTTTGGGTGTGCCAACTGTAGAAATTCAAGAAAAAAAACTTCCGTTCTGAGTGCTTGAAAAAGCCTACGTGTTGTTAAGCTTACACTACCATTGCACAATTGACGTAAAATAGATGATTGATTTCTCTGTTAACTCTTGCACTGTGGGAGAGGATAAGGGACAGCAGGAACAAGACTGAGCTGAAGGTGTTTAATGCACAGCGGTGCCATCGCTGGGCAATGGTGGTGCCAGCGCACTCCCCCATAAGTGCCCCTTCCAAGACAAACAATAAATTCATGAATCAGTCCCTGCTCTGTAGCTGTTCATGAACTGTTGAAGACTAGTGTCGTCTCTAAAAAGTTACAGTTTTTGTAAGAAAAAAATATTTGCTCAAATAATCGTACGGTGGTGCTCATCTTATTGCAGATCAGAGTCAGTGCTTAAATTTACACAATCCTATGGTGGAGGTAAGTTCGTCCATCGGACGACAACTGTTGACTTTCCACAATGACACTCGTTTTTATAAACCCAAGAGGAATGAATTGCTCAGGCAACCTTCCACTTGCAATGTATTCCAGACTCTTCACACACTGAGCCACATGCTCAGTTCTGTAGGCCCAACACAGAATTTAGATGTTCACGTCGTTTCTCTTCCTGGCTATGTTAGTGTTTTAAAAACGCACAGAAAATATTGACAAAACAAACAGCCTACATTAACCCATGCCTATGGAAATTTTAAACTAAAACCAACTTTAAAAAAAAATGTCCTTCCATTTACAACATCCACCTTCTGACTGAAGGAGAGTGAAGAGGAGGGAGCCATCCAGGGGCAGAACCCACAGAGCCTCACCGCTCACAGAGTGGGTACATGGACCTAGGCCCTGATGCAGAACCTGGGCCAATCCTGGGTAAGCAGAGTCCTAATTCTCTCCCTTTACCCCCATGTCTTCTCTTCTTCTGGCACCCTCTGCAGCAGAGGATGGCGCAGGTCTCAGTCACGGCCCCGGCTCTGTCTGTGGGTGCCCCCCTCCCCTCTGTGGCCGGTGACGCGTGCGGCCTGGAGCCCACAAGCCCACTGCTGGCCCCGCCGGCCGGTCAGTGCCCCGTCACAGCCACTACCAACGCCATCGGCACCATCATTGACGGCATGTCCTCTGGTGAGGTTCCAATGTGTGTGTGTGTGACACCCGTTTCTCAGAAATGGCACTTGTTCAATAAGTCGTTCAATTTCTTTGACGTCGCTCTGTTAGAAAGTAGGGCAATTTCCCAAAACGTCACCTGTTATATAATTTTCCTTTTTGTGGCAAAGCTATTGACGTATATGTTGAGTTTTTGTTATGTGTGCTTGCACACCACTGCCAATTCAGTCTTACAAATATATGTTGTTTACTTGTGAAATCAGGACTCTGTGTCGCACGGGACATTTAAGCTTTGGTGGTGAAGTCGTTGACCCACTGTGCCACAAACTCAGTAACCTGCTTTCAATTCCATTCCACAGCTAACATCGTTGGCAAGCGGTATCATAACTGGTCCTGGGCCTCTTCCTCGCTAAACTCGGCCTTTAATTAATTTCAAAACTGGGTGAACAAAGGTGGCCCTTCTCAGTCCCGACTACACTATCCCCTTCTGTACTATGCTGGCCTTAATATTTGCTTATTACCAACACCTGCTCCAGTAGTCTAAATACTTTGTGCTGAAACTTGGTGTTTGCGGTGTGCTTGTGCATCGTGGTGGCCAAGTGGTATTTGTACATTGCACTTTCAACCTGTATTTCGGGGCTTGATTTTTATCCACGTGCACTGCCTTTTGCAATCGGCCTAGAATTGGTCACACCAGCGCTTTATAGTTTGGTCATGATGGCTAAATAACGAGCATTATCTTTGTCTTCTTTATATATATCTGTATTTTTGAGTACCTGTTGTCTTTGTGGATATTTTTTTTGTGTGTGTATATGTACGTGTTTCGAACCCGGCAAACCGAGTTCGATTCCTGCTCACGGCCAACACCAGTGATGATTATTTGAACCGGTCCTAGGCTTCCTCTAGGTCGACTCAGCCTCAAATGAGTACCTAGTGCGATGTGTAAAACATTTTGCCACTAGGGAGATAAAAGTGACCCGGGTGTAGTGCTGGCCACCCACCACCTCGATTGCGTGCCAGCCATCATAGCTGCTCGCTAACAGCACTTGCCCCAACAATCTTGTCAAGGCTATAAGGGGGGGGGGGGGATCTTTTTCTTTGTGTTTGTGTACATACTGTGTGTGTCTGCCACAGTATCTCTGGAGGAAAACATGGCAAACCCCAAAGAGAAGACCCCAATGTGTCTGGTGAATGAGCTGGCCCGCTACAACAAGCTGCAGGCCCAGTACAAGCTGGTGCGGGAGGAGGGGCCCGCACATGCCAAGGTACGTCGCCTGGTCACTGTAGCCCGTCACTGCTTCACGCAGTGGTGTGATGCGGGGCCATTGCCTGAGGCATTAGCAATTATTTAATTTGTTCGTAATTACATGCAGGCTCGTGGAACAAACAACCGCACAACGCATACGGAGCAAGTGAGAAACAATGCAAACAAGACAACAATTATAACAAAAATGAAACAATTCTTGGAATAAAATGCAACCCCGATTTATGACAATTCATCAAATCAGTATGTGGGGTAAACCATCACACCCTAACCCTTTTAACAAAACAAGCTGTCATACCAGTAAATTAAGGGAGACTCAATTCCGTTCTCCATGCAAGATGCCAGCTACTTACACCCGTTAGAAATGTTATGATATGCAGCGTAACATTTTCTAACATGAAACAGTGTTGAATTATTTAATTGCTAGTCCATTCTCAATTCGATGCAGTTCTGGCAGTTGGTGTTGGTAAATTCCGTGCTGAATTTTGTGACGATTGCTTTAAGGGTTTTCTAGTTTTTGTAAAAATAAAATGGTCTTGTATGGACAGGCGGACAAAATGTTTCCCAGGCGTTTCTATGGATAGCCTATTGGCTTCCTTAAAGAAGAGATGTTTTAATCGTGGCATGACCCCAAATAATGACTAACTGAACCATGGAAGCATATGTTTTGACGTCCTTAATACGCATATAGCATTTTCCCGATTGTAATTCGATGAAATTCACAATTCAGGGTCACGATTCGATTTCATAATACATTATATGGTTTAGCGTTGTGCTGCATGTATAATCTAGTGGCTGTAGAGTTCACATAAAATAATACTATATCGCATAAGGACATGTACACCCCTTTCGTCAATCCACTGCTGGATGGGATCCTACCCACGCCATGCAGGCTTTGGGGGCTTATTTGACCATACTTCACCATGCTGGTCAGTGCGGCTTGGTGAAAGCTGGGAGCAGCGACATGAGCGCATAGACGTACAGTATAACTATGTATTTTACAGCACTACCATCTGATGCGCACAAAACAGTGCCCCACAACATATATCAATGTACAGGCGATCCCCGCACCTACGATCTAATTGGTTCCAGGACGATGATCGCAAGTCGAGCCGCCGTAAGCCGGGGGTGACCTGCATAACCATCGATTCTAACATGCACAATTTGACGCATGCATTCGACATTCAATTTATGCGTGATGGTTGATTATACAGCGCACAATAGGAATTTCTAATAATCGATGAACCAATACATCAGTCATCGTCATCATCAGTAGCCGTGATCAATACACAGCTGGATTAAGGCCTCCCCAAGCCAACCATCATTGTCCTTTGAAGTAACAATCTGCGTATTACCTGTACAGAAGTAGATTTTATTGTTGTACCCCTCCCCATTGGACATACATGTACTCCGACCATCATTCGCTGTACGTGCCTAATGCAACGTCACATGCCAAATTATTAGTATTAGGTGATGGCAGTAATAATGTGTGCTACCAAAGCATGGTGTATGTGTGTCAGCATGTGTTCTGCCAGTCTTCTCAGTCAATCCACGGCACCTGAGTCTGTTCCGTAACCACCTGACAGCGAGCCTTCGACACTTCACGTGGCCTCAAAGTGCACCTAGCATGGCACAAGCGCCGTGGTGACATCACCGCCACTTCGTGGTGAACTGCAGTGGTCGTTGTTGTTGCATGTTTTCTGAGCGGAGTCGGTGCCTTGTTCCCCCGCTTTGCCACCACGCTCGCGCGCAGTTGTTCACGGTCGAGCTGGCGCTGGGGGAGCAGACATGGGAGGCCGAGGGCAGCAGCATCAAGAAGGCGCAACACTCGGCTGCCACGCGTGCCCTCGCCGAGACGGCGCTGCCCCGGCCGCCCGCTCGCCCACCCAAGCACAACCTTGGCACCAACCCAGGTGCGGCTCGGGCCACTCGTGTATAGGGACACCGAGACAAAGATCCCCCGTTTAACCTGCAACAGACTTGTTGGGGCAAGTGCAGTTAGCGAGCACCTATGAAGGCCGGCATGGGACACGAGGGGGTGGGTAGCCAGCAGCATGTCAAGCCGCAGTTTGTCTCCCCAGTGGTGATGTTTATACACCACACCTGCTGCTCATTTGAAGCTGAGTTGACCTAGGGGAGGTCTAGAACTGGTGCAGATATTCGCCACTGATGTTAGCCGTGAAAGGGAATCGAACTCGGGCGGCCGGGTGCAGAGCACAGTGTGTGCATTGCGCTAACGACTAAACTACCGCTGCTTATGCGCACACACGCTTGGGCACGTATGCACATGCATTTGCACACACATATGGTAGCAATTACATGCTGTAAATACAGAAACACTGGTGCATACACACCATGATGTGTCCACATACCAGTACACATGCTGGCTTTAATTTGCCACTCGTATTGCCGTTCCTGTGTTGAGCATTGTGCCCATGATCATATCACCCGCAATGCCCCCCGATCTCACTAGATCTCGGAAGCTGAGTAGGCTTGAGCCTGGACTAGAACTTCGATGGGTGACTACCTTGCACAAAACAGGTGTCGTAGGCTGTTACGGGGCTATGTAGGCACCAGAAGGCAGTGCAGCAAAATAAATGTTTGTACTGTACTATGCTTCTAGCATCTATACTTCCCCCTATACCAACCTGCATAGACCAGCACGGTGAAGTATGGTCACATGACCCCCACCTGCGCAGCATGGGGAGGCTCTCATTCTGCAGTGGATCGACAATAAATGATGAACATGTATACAGTGTTGTACAGTATTCACTCATGTAACTTGTACCTTCCATTAATCTCCCATTTCTCTTCCTCTTGACTCGCATTGTCTGCACGGACTGTGCTATCATTCGAGTAAATGGATAACCACCCATAGCACGGGGATCAGACACATGATACACCCACGTGGCTTCTGGAGGCAAGAGGCCACAACGATGGGTGGCACAGCCGGTTAGTCCGATGTTGGTTCGGAGCATCTGCGGGACATGGCACAGCGTGTGGTGACATGGCCGCAGTTTTTATGCTGCCCGCAGGGAGCATCACACCCACCGTGGAGCTCAATGGGATGGCCATGAAGCTGGGCCTGCCCGTGTTCTACCGGCACTTTGACCCGCCGCCCATGCCCGGATATCGGCCAAACTACAACTACCGCGGCATGCCGCACCAGAGGTCGTGATCTGCAAGCATACGTGCACACACGTGCGCGTTCACTCACAGAATTCACTTGCGCATTATAACACTTGTATCTAGGCATACGCACATGCACTTTCACACGCACACATTTTTATTATTATGCTTTCTTACCCAGAAAATCCTTACTGAGTCACAAGACTATCAGCAAGGTCCTACCAAGTTTTCGCAGTACGGGGTACTGTTGCTGTGTTTAATCCCAATTGAGTAATTTGCAGATATTTTTTCAGCATTGGGATGTTTGTCCAATGCCAGTTACATTGTATGTTTTTTTTGTTTAGCTATGGGAGGAAACCTGAGGACCTGGAGGAAACCCATGCAGAACAGGGGGAGAACATACAAACTCCACTCAGAAAGGCGCCCGAGTCGGAAATCGAATCCATGCCCTTCTTGCTGTGAGACGCAAATGTTAACACTGTGCCACCCTGCCGCCCAAATTTAGTGCACACATCCACACCACTCGCACATGCAAGCTCACGTGTATGGAAACACATGACTCATTCGAAGTTGCACGTAATCACACCCGCGCATTGCTCACACACAGCAATGTGTACACGTGCGCACACACACATAGGACATGATCATGCAAATGTACTTGGCTCACATGCAGATGCATAAGTGCACATTCATTTCCTTTTGCACATGTGTGTACGCATACTTGGTGTTGTGTGCACACATGCTCATGAGCTCACACATAGACATGCACAACACACATAAACCACACGTCCATGCATACACATCGTCACGGTCTCACACAGATATGTACACACATGCACAGCTCATGTACACGCTTACACAAACATGCGTTGTGTGCAAAGCCAGTCGTCAGGACAGATGTTTGGGTGACATCTCAAGAAGTTTCTGCCTTTCATCTTTCATCTCCCCAACCTGTAAAGCCTCGATCATTATTGCTACACTCCCCTGGATCCAACAGTGTAGCTATTGAGTGTGCAGGTGGTACAACTGCACTGGGGCAGACCCATGGACCAGAGCGGCTGATGCGCCAGGTTATGAAGGGGAGGAGGGGGGGAAAGTATTCACGGTGCCCCATTGCATTTCTCACACCGGGACACAATCCAACCGCGCTGTGTCACTGGATCCCTGTTGCATTGTGACCCCATTTGTTTGGCGATTCTGACCGGGCAGGTACCACCACCCCCCGATGCCGCGCGCCTTCCTGGTGGAGCTGCAGGTGGGCGAGCGCAAGTTCACGGGGGAGGGCCGTACGCGGCAAGCCGCGCGCCACAACGCTGCCAGCAACGCGCTCAAGGACCTTCAAAGCGACCCGCTGCCTCCCAAGCCTGCGCCCGACACACAGGTTATGCTCTGCTGCACCACCAACAGCTTGGACGGAGCCGGCTTCCTTTTATGGCGAAGCAGGCGGCAGCTCATTGGGGACTCGTCGTTGCCTTGACAAATGAGGCCGAGGGTGAAAGAAAAGCTGCCTGCCGCTCTGCACATTTCCACGCTGGTTGTTGACGAATCGGGGTTGTGTAATGTGGCGGTGACATGGCACGCGTTAGAAAGTCCGTCGCTCGTTGCTGAGGTTTGCGGTTCAAATCCTGCAGGTAACCCCCTGGCTGTTACTGCGGGTGTATTAACCTTAAAAAATACACCCTCTGCTTCATTGTAAACGTTAAAGAGCCTCTGATCCCATTGTAAAAGAGTAGGCCATAGCAACATCACTCCCCACGAGCACACTATATCGACCTGTGAAATATAGCAATTTCGCGATCACCCTGCACTATAAGAATGGCCCAAATACCGAATTTATTAAGTGACTATGAATAGTGGTTTTCGCACGCTGGATTTGCAATCAAGACATCTCTGGTATGATCTCCGTGCATGCCAGTTGAAACAATGGTGCACTTTTTTTTAACCCCCCTATGTCCACCCAGCAGTATAAATGGGTGCGCCAGAGTTAGTTGGTTAACAGGGCATGTATGCTGGAGTAAATTGTGAATACTCCCATCTCTCTTCCAAGACGTCTGGTCAGCGGGCCAAATATCATCTGGAGGGGCTCTTTTGACCTCCCTCTAGTTGAAGCCCTTCTGCCAATCGTGGCATGAGAATTAAATTATAGGGCTGCACTGGTTCCTTTGACTAATCAGTGGTTGCCATTGAGCACTTTTATTTGATTGTACTGTTTCTTTGAAAAAAAATGATATGCTGAATTGGGAATGCATCTTTGTATGTGCATTCGTGTAACTGTGTGTGTCTATACATGAGTATCTGGTGCGATGTGTAAAACATCACTGGGGAGAGAAAGGCAGTTGGGCGTGGTGCTGGCTACCCACCCCCTTGTATACCTTACCGGCCTTCATAGGTGCTCGCTGACAGAACTTGCCCCAATATTATGTTAAGGCTTTACGGGGGACCTTTGTCTTTGTTTGTCTATATGTGTGCGAGTATATATAACTGTGTATATATGTGCGTGTGTGTGTGTGTGTGCACATATGTACACACACGCAGTGCACTGCGCTACAAACGCAACAGCCTGACTTGAATTTTCGGCTACATACAACATCAGTGCTGATTTTCTCTTAAACCGCTTCTGGGTTTAAGATAAATCACTACTAGTGCAGTATGTACCTGGTGCAGTGTGTAAACATCAGTACTTGGGAGACACAGGTCTTTAAGCATGGTGCTGGCCACACCCCACCCCCTTGTGCACTACGGCGGCATTCATATAAGCGCTTGCTAGCAGAACTTGCCCCAACATGCGTATGCTACCCGGGGGATCTTTGTCTTTGCGTACATACGTTACTTATGTAACTGTGTGTACGTGTGCGTGTCGCTCACGATTATAGGAGAATGGAAACGAGGATGAGGATGAGGAGAACGACCACGACGCCAACAAGTCGGAGATCAGCCAGGTGTTCGAGATCGCGCTCAAGAGGAACTTCCCCGTCAACTTCGAGGTGACAGGTTTGGCTCCTGGCACGACGGCTCTCCCGAGATGACAGGGCCCTCACCACCGACTGGTGCCAACACCAGGAGGCAGGCGATCGGTACCAGGTTTAGCAAACAGCTCCATAGTGGCCGGTATAGAAGACGGTTACATTTTTTTAGCCGACAGTTGCATTGTTTCTAGATTTGAAGCTTTCGTGACTGCAAGGATTCATACTCTTTGGTAAAATGAAATAAATGAAAATAACTATATTAAACCATTTATTTTATTTTACCTACGTGACTTTACCGAAAAAAACAAAGAGTTGCATTGTTCCCCATGGTCCTGAGCACCATTCAGTTCCTGACTTGCTGCAGGAACCGAATGGTGCAAGTATGAATTAAAGTATGAATGAAAAATTAATACTTGCACACAAGACTGTCCTTGAGGCTACTGTAACAAACCATTTTGGTACCCCGTGCCACTTCCTGTCACGTGACCCCTTCCCAGGATTCCTTAGTTCATTGTATTTACAGGACTCGGCAGCCACATTTTTACGTAACTCCTACAAACGGCCAACAAACTACACTGAAGTAAATGTAGATAAGCAGACATTCCGTCTGTCTCCACATACAAATCAATGTTCGTGAGTTCATCTGCTTACTAGTCTGGGAAGCCAATAGGCTGATGGGACTGAATAAATATTTTGATTTATACGAGCGGACACTCGTTCTGTGTATCCAAATATAAATAAAGCAATATCTTTATGATACGTGGAGAAGGATCTCGTGTAATTTCAATATTTTTTTAACGCACAATGTTGCACAACAACGCTCAGTGAGTTTGTTTCCTTCGAAGGTATTAGGAAGCAGTTTTCAGGCAGCAGGTGGGGGGACAGCGTCTGACCGGTGACGGAGGAGTAGACGCCGGCCTGGTTGGTGTGCCCAGCGGTGGCGTCTTCACGATGCCACCGTGGGGTACTACGGTAGCGAGATGTTAAATACCTCGCCTGGTATGCAGGAGGTTGTGGTATTGATCACGACACTGATGCCTGTATATTTGGAGTTTGCATGTTCTCCACGTGGTCGCATACATTTTTCTACGGGTCCTCCGTTTTTTCCCTCAATTCGAGACATGCGTTTAGAGTATTTGGCTGTTATACATTTCCACATGATAAGCCTCTACATTGGACAATCATTTGTGGCCAGGTCGCTTTTGAAAAAAGAGCTATATAGCTCAGTGGGCCTCACCTGGTAAAATAAAAAAATAGTTTTAGAGTCCCTGCGAGTCCCTGAGCCATCACGTTTGCGTGCGCCCCGTGCAGGTGGTGCGGGAGAGCGGCCCCCCGCACATGAAGAGCTTTGTGACGAGGCTCTCGGTGGGGCAGTTCTCCGCCGAGGAGGAAGGCAAGAGCAAGAAGCTGTCCAAGAAGAAGGCGGCCGCTATCGTGCTGGCCGAGCTGTTCAAGCTACCACCCCTACCCGTCGTGGAAAAACCGCGGCCCACGCTCTTCAAGAAGAAACCCAAGTCGATCGTGAAGGTGAGGCCTTGGCCCCGTGGCGGTGTGGTGTGGAGGATGGTGGTGGGCGCCTGGGTCTTGGCGCGTGTGCTCATGTTGGTTTTCGGCCACACGTGCATACACGGCACAGGTGTCATGCGATTTCTTACGATGTCTCGTTCCCGTCTTCATGCACTCGCAATCTCTTCTGTCCCTCTCTGTGCTTCCCTCGCCCTACACCCAATCACGCTTTCGTTCCTTTTCCCCTTCTTGCTCCCCTTCACTGGAACAAACTCCCACTGCACATGAAACAATCACCTTCACTCAGCTGCTTCCGCTCCTCCCTTAAAACAACCCCATGTGTCTTCTTCCTAGCCCATCCTACTGATTACAACCTGCCCCTTGCCTACCAGCTACGACTAGCCCTACCCCAACCCATCCTTAAGCTCCTCCACCATTTCTGCACCACCACTTTTAATAATCCCACTTTTTATCTCAACCACTTTCATCACATGTACCATTTTTATAATCGCTGCAAAGCGCCTTGAATGAAGGTGCTATATACATTTAGATAAGATAAGATGTGTCTCGCCTACCTGTGTGGCTGTGCAGGTGAGCCCAGAGTACAGCCAGGGCATGAATCCCATCAGCCGGCTCGCACAGATCCAGCAGGCGAAGAAGGAGCGTGAGCCCGACTACACAGTCGTCTCGGAGCGCAGCCTGGCACTGCGTCGACGCGAGTTCATCATGCAGGCACGGGCACATATGCAGTTACATGCGTGGGCAAATGCCCAATTCCTGGCCAAGTCATGCAATAAGAATTACAATTGGCATCCAAGCCTGCACTGAGCCACCTCAAGATTGACTATGCCTAAGATGACTGCTCAATGCATAGTGAGTGTGGTCATCATCATCAACACCGGCAGCGGGGCATGCGTAGTGCTATCCCCACCGGTGCCCTCGCGCGCCACGCCAGCCTTAACGGGTGCCCGCTAATGGCCTGCGTCCCGGCGGCGGTGGTCTGCGAGGCTGAAGGAAGTGCCGTGCCTCTGTGCTGCGCTGTGTGCAGGTGAAGGTGGGCGATGACTGTGCGACGGGCACTGGTCCCAGCAAGAAGATCGCCAAGCGCAACGCGGCGGAGACGCTGCTGCTGCAGCTGGGCTACAAGCCCTCGCTGCCGGCCGCCTCGCCCGATGACAAGGTGGTTCTGAGGCTGGGCTGTCTGTTTACCCGGTTTTTGACAATGGCTTCATCGTTGCCGTTTGAAATATGAGGATACATTGATAAACAGGTTTTCTATTGTTTTATTTTCCTCTGCAACTTTGACATTCCGGCGTCGAAGGAAATGCAACGTTTCAGTAGATAATGTTATGGCCTCTGACCAAATGGCCGAGAATGCAGATCTTTGAAGTTAAATCAGGGGTGAGCCTGGATAATACTTGGATGGGTGTTGACCATCCATAAAACAGGTCCAGGCAATCCTCGGTTTACGCACTTTCGTGGTACACCATTTTGGAATAACTCGCGCTTTAAATTTAAACCTTTTATTGATACACGCGAGGTACTGTTTCGGAATAACGTCATCCCGCAACGCGACGTACGCTACCCTAGCCTGGCACCGCGACCCAATGGCGTTGTCAGCAGCAAGTGCGGTGTGATAACTCGTGTGCTATGCAGGCACAGCATCTCGCCGGGTGTACACCGGCGCCCTTCACTTTGTCTGCACAACGCGTAGTTACAACGTGTAGGGGACTAAATGGGGAAGAAAAGTTACACAGAGCTACTCAAGATTCATTTAATATAAACAACACAGGTGCTGAGGGAATTTACAAAGAGAACAGGTTGTGAAGGGATAATTAAGAACACAGGTGGCCGGTTATCTAACATCGGAGAGGAAGGAGCACAGGTAGTGAAGGGATAATTAATGAGAGGGTTCTGTAGCAAGAGAACACACACACAGGTGGTTAGGAATTAAAGCTCGAGAGGGAGATAAAAAAGGGGAGTCTCGCTGGCAATAGGCCTATTGATATATGCGAGGATAATATAGCCGATTATGTCTGCGTGAGTGAAATCCCCTAACCCCAACTTCCTTTACCATTATTTCTTGTGGGAAAATTGCTTTTGACATACGCGATTTTGAGATACGTGCGTTTTTTCCAGGGACGCATCTATCGCCTATGTCAATGAGTGCCTGTATTGAAGGCTGCTGCTGGCTTACTTTTTGAGCAGAGGGAATTGTAACAAAAGATCTGCATTCTATGTTCCATGCCTTCAAAATTCCACACTGAACCAACGCTGTGGAGTACTGTATGGTCAAATAACCCCCACAAGCAGCACAGCGTGGGGTGACTCAACCATGTGTTGATTGACAAAAGGCTGTACCTGTAGGAAGGGTCATAATGATTCCCAAGAAGATAAGGGACAAAACTATCATGCATTTACCAACAAATTAAAGCTACAAAAAGCATTCACTCTGGATATATTCTGTGCTGACCCTTGTCTCCTCCATGTGTTGCACTCTGCCCACTCTATATTTCTGCCCCACCATTGCCTATTTCCCTACCCCTGTGCCCCTTCCTTACCAGTGTCAGCCGCAAGAGGGTGAGAAGCCGGTGGATACACGCAAAGTGACCTTCGCGGAACCAGCCAGCCCCAGTAAGTAGCTGTTTCCCTACTACGGCAGGGTGGTCTGGGGTCCGATTGATTTGTGCCTCTCTTCGCACGGACATCTGAGCCTTACCCGGCGAGCCTGATGCATTTTAGCAGGTGCCAGGTATCGCGGCGACCCTGTGCCCTACTGATTGACGTCATACCCAATGAATGAGTCATTATTCCTGCCCCTGGTCCTGCTTGGCCACGAGCCAGACTCGGATGTCTTGTGAAGTCACTTGGTTCCAGCTTAGCATGGCAAATAGCCATTGGAAACCACCTGTACTGCGAACGCTCAATGCTGGCTCAGCTCGAATGTGGCAGTGGAAATTGTGTATTGGAGTGGTTATAGACTTGTTATTTGGGATTAAATTAGCCAGGATTGTCGAGTCAAGTTGAAGTGGTTTACACTCATCCACCACCCAGCTATCACATCCTCCGTGTGTTGTGTGTAGTGTGCTTTTTATTTTTTTCATTTATATTCCATTTGAATCATTGGCATCATGTCATGAGACAAATACTTTTTCATTCGGCACCCTCACAGCTCGCCGTCCACCACCGCATATCAGATTATAGAAATGGCCTTGGAAGAAGTAATAGAACTACTTTTTAAGTCAATTTCAGGTGGCCTTTTTATCCATTCTTGGAGTAAAGATTTTTTTTGTTACTTTAAACTTTCGTGACTGCAGGAATTCATATTCTTGGTTCTTTCGGTAAAGTCACGTAGATAGAAAAGTATATATATATATATTTTTTATAAATACAAATAACACATTTTAAATAGTAAAAGTAACACAAGCGATCGAAACGTCGTGGTATTTTGCTTTTATTATTTTAAATGTGTTATTTTTTTATTTTAATTGTATTTAATTCTTATTTCTATCTACGTGACTTTACCGAAAGAACCAAGAATATGGAGTACAGATGTTATATTCCCTGCAACGAGTGTCCATTGCATCTTTTTGTGACCAACTATTTTAATTCTCAGAGGTGGAATAAATTAAATTAAGTGAAAACATCTTTAAACATTATTGGTTCTTTGCACGAATGCATAGTTTAGGCAGAGACCATCAACTCGTCGCTCTTGATAACCAGGTTTAATTACAGGTGGCTGAAACCTGGAGTCGAACCCAAAATCTCAGTGGTGTTGGCTCAGTGCTTCTGACATGGTGTTAGCCTCCCAATGCCACCGGCCACCTCTATAGTGCACCCTGAAACGTAGACAAAACCTTATATATGTATGTTGAACTTGTTTCGCACCGTACATAGCCAACCGTGCTAATCAGACATGCTATTGGTGCATCTCGCCTGCTCCACCTCGTGTCTCCCCGTGCCGCTCTCTCCTCTCTGCTGCTCAGACCAAAAGGGTATCCTGCACCTGTCAGCTGATGTCTACCAGCAGATGGAGGCAGCACGAAACCGGGCTGGCGGTCCCCCTCCCCAGCAGCAGCAGCAGCATCCTGCTATGGGCTACGGCAAGAAGGAGCCGTCGTGGGGGGGCCCAGGCCCCATGCACCCCCACGGCCTAGGAAACGCCACTGCCACCATTCCCAGGTGCTTTTATGGATCCGTTTGGCAGCACACTCAAGCAGGCGGCTCACGCGGGGGCATTTCCATATTTAATTACGAGTCCTGCGTTGGCCTCAATTATTGCTCTTGATAAACCCGGGTGAAACTTTGTGTCCGTTTTAACAGCGGTATTTTAATATTCGGGGTGGGGTGATGGCACAGTGGTAAGTGTACTGCGCTATTAACTCGATGATGTGAGGTCGATTCCCGGCCATGGCTAACATCACTGGCGTTGTGGTATCCCAATTGGTCCTGGGTGCGCCCTTCATCAGCCTGCACTGACCATCATGGTGGAGTATGGTTAAACAACCCCCATGTCTAATACGGTATGGGGAAGAGTGGATTTGGGGCTATCAATTGTGATTATTATTATACATTTTTATTGAATCAAAAATATATATGTTTAAAAAAAAAAGATTGGTAACTTTAACTTTGTAGTAGCGCGGCCTCCCCAGGAGCTTCGGGTAAACTTGTCTAAGCGAGTGTCCTGCTGGACAGGTTATATGGGCTAGCATGTAAAACTGTTTAATCATTTTGGGTTAGGCCACATCGTGATCTAGCCAATCTTTTGTCATAAAACCCTCCACCATCCGGCATCGTCAAACATATGAAATTGTCAGGTGTACAATAATTTAATGTGCCAATTATTGTTTCAGCTCATCCGTAAGTTAAGAACAATTCTCATCTTATTATATCAGTTAGATAAGACGTTTCGCTTGAAACTGCATCAAGCATCTTCAGGTCATGAAACCACGAAGTAAGAATTTCATTTGTTTGGCTCGCGACAAAGATTTGTCGAAATTATTACGTGCTCTCATCCAAAAATCAATTGTGAATCTTAATAATGGAAGCGAAAACCTTTGGGTTACATAAAACTGAGTGCGCGTGTGTGTGGCGATGCAGGGAGCTGCTGATGAAAGGCGGCTCACCCACGGCGGAGGCCATGGTGAAGGTGCCGCCCGTCCACATGGTCCACGCGTGCCAGCAACTCGACTACCTGGCTCGTGAGCAAGGCTTCCAGGTGGCCGCTCCGTGGTGGACAATGTTCCTGTGTGTCAAGCGGAGGGTTTTCTCTGGGAATTTTAGTACCGTGCGTGTGTTCATGTTCAGTGGAGCGCGGTAGTGGAGTGGTTAGTGCACGGCGCTACAAACCCAGCGACCCGAATTCGTTTTCTGCTCAGAGCCAATATCAGTGAATCGGACCTGGGCCTCCTTGAGGTCAACTCAGCCTTAAAATGAGTACCTGCTGCAGTGTGTAAACATTGACAAAGGTGGCCAGGCGTGGTTCTGGCCATACCACCCCCTAGTACACTGTGCCGGCCTTCATAGTTGCTCGCTAACAGCACTTGCCCAAACAGTCTGTTAAGGCTATAATGGGGGGATCTTTGGCAGCCCTGGGTGAAGATCACCCTCACCACACCTTGTTGGTTGTGGAGACTGTTTGACCATGCTTAGCCATGCCGGTCAGTGCTCATTTTGATCGGGAGGGCATCCAGGATTGGTTCATATATTGCTCACCACTGATATTATCTTTGGCTGGAAAATATTACGTAGTGCTGGGTTCACAGAGAAATGCGTTGACCATTGTGCTACCAGTGACTTTCAATGCACTGTACAGCATGTTGTCATGACCCTCTTAGTGATGTCACTGTGACAGTTTTCCTGTGTGTTGGTGTCACTCGAGCACCATCGCGGTGAACCGATTCGACTGTGATGTGAAAGTCTTTTTATGCTCATCAAAGCTTCAAAGTCGCGTCGGACAGTCTTGAACACAGCAAGCTGGCAGCTACTGGAGAAGAGCTGTTAGGACCATGTTTGCACTGAAATATCAGAGAGCGTTTTAGATGTCTTTTTGGGTTGTGTCCTGTGTTGTTCGGCATGATATCCGACCTTTCGCTGCACGTGCTGGGAACTTCTTCATTAACTGAATTCAGCATCTCGCTTTTCCCCGTGATGATTATAGTGTTGTCTGATACTGCTGGTGTTGCTGGTTCTTGACGCCGATTGTTTCAATCTAGCGACCGGTGGGGTTTCTACAGGAAATTCATTATAATCGTATCGAAACGCGAACAGCGCAATAAGGATAGAAATCGGTGAACAAGTATTATCAGGCATTCCTCGGGCACTGCATTAGTCAAATGTTATCTCCCTCACCTGGTATGCAGTAGGTTGTGGGTTCGATACAGACCCTGACTCCTGTATATTTGGAGTTCACGTGTTCTCACGCTACGTGGTCGCGTGGATTTTTCTCTGGGCCCTCCAGTTTTGCCTTCCACCTTCAGAAAAACTTGCGTTTAGATTATTTGGCTGCTACTCAAAAAATCCACATGAGCCACTTTGACGAGCTATCATGCATGGCCAGATTGCCTCTGGAATAGAACTAATAGCTCAGTGGGCTTTACCTGCTAAAAAAAATCTATAAATAGGATTTTAATAAATGTATTAATCAGAGGTGGCCGAGTGGCTGAAAGTTCAGAGCAATAAACTAGCTCCGCTGAGGCCTAGGTTCTAATCCAGTCAGCCAATCATGATAAAATTTGTTTCTCAAGTCTTTTGAGTTGATGGTCTCAGCTTTGGCACCAATAACTGAACATAAAACATCACACGTGAACAAAGTATTGGTTGGACTGCCATGTGCTGAATATCTCTGTAGCTGAGCACTTGAGACTATGGACCATTCCTTATGTGGATTAGAAAAAAAATGGTTTTTCAAAGGTATATCTCGGTTTTGATTCTGTGATTTCACCTATGCGTTGATGCACTACTCCTTGAGACTTCCAAATAGACGTTTCGTCCCATGACCCTGACACCGATCACGAAATTGGAACACAAGTGCACACTTTAACAATAAATGTGGGATTTGTGTGTTTGGTGACGAACAGGTGCAGTACATGGACATGCAGCATGGGAAGGATGTGATGAGCACCCTTACCATCCTGCCCCTACAAATAGCGTTCCATGGCGTGGGCAGCACTGTGGAGGCGGCACGTGATCAGGTGCTGCTCCTGCACTGAACACGCCACACCTGCCCGCTTACTCTGCTCACCCACACCCCAAAGATCTCCCGTATATCCTTAACAGACTGTAGGAGCAAGTGCTGTTACGAGCATCCATGAAGGCAGGCACGGCACACGAGGGTTTGGTGGCCAGCGCCGTGCCCGGCCACCTTTGTTTCCCCAGTGGCGATCTTTACACACTGCATCAGGTACTTATTTGAGGCCGAGTCGACCTAGGGGAGGCCCATAATCGGTTCAGATAATTATCATCACTGGTGTTCTCCGTGACCGGGAATCGAACCCGGGTCGCCAGGTTCAGAGTGCAGCGTTCTCACTGCTACACCACCGCTCCCCACTCACTTGCTCACCCGCTCACCCACACCCTACTCATTTGGTCACCTGCATGTTGGTTCGCCCACACCTCGTGCATACACCTTACATGCTTGCTCTTTCTCTTGCTCACTCGCTCGCCCGCCCGCCCGCCCGCCCATACCTCACTCTTGTAAATACACTCAACTGGCTTGCTCATCCATGTGCTCGATCGCTCACCCACACCCCACTTGATCATACACCCAGTGGTCAAAGTGGGATGGTATATGCCATTATGAATTACCGGTAAGAAATACTCAGATGGTATGGTATACTTGCAAATTCAAGTGTAAACCTGGGATGAGGTGACCACTGTTTATTATACATTTGAAATGCACTATAATACCATTATGTAGTCGACATATGTGACACACCACCTCGCTCACACCACCTCGCTCACAATACCTCGCCCACTTCACCTCGCCCACACCACCTCACTCACACCACCTGACTCACACCACCTCACTCACACCACCTCGCTCACACCACCTCACTCACACCACCTCGCTCACACCACCTCACTCACACCACCTGACTCACACCACCTCACTCACACCACCTCGCTCACACCACCTCACTCACACCACCTCGCCCGCACCACCTCGCCCACACCACCTCACTCACACCACCTGACTCACACCACCTCACTCACACCACCTCGCTCACACCACCTCACTCACACCACCTCGCCCGCACCACCTCGCCCACACCACCTCACTCACACCACCTGACTCACACCACCTCACTCACACCACCTCGCTCACACCACCTCACTCACACCACCTCGCTCACACCACCTCACTCACACCACCTCGCTCACACCACCTCACACCACCTCGCTCACACCACCTCACACTACCTCGCTCACACCACCTCACACCACCTCACTCACACCACCTCACACCACCTCGCTCACACCACCTCGCCCACACCACCTCACCCACACCACCTCACTCACACCACCTCACTCACACCACCTCACTCACACCACCTCGCTCACACCACCTCGCTCACACCACCTCGCTCACACCACCTCACTCCACCTCACTCACACCACCTCACACCACCTCACTCACACCACCTCACTCACACCACCTCACTCACACCACCTCACTCACACCACCTCACCACCTCACTCACACCACCTCACTCACACCACCTCACTCACACCACCTCACACCACCTCACTCACACCACCTCACTCACACCACCTCACACCACCTCACTCACACCACCTCACACCACCTCACTGACACCACCTCACTCACACCACCTCGCTCACACCACCTTACACCACCTCACTCACACCACCTCACTCACACCACCTCACTCACACCACCTCGCTCACACCACCTCGCCCACACCACCTCGCCCACACCACCTCACTCACACCACCTCACTCACACCACCTCACTCACACCACCTCGCTCACACCACCTCGCTCACACCACCTCACTCACACCACCTCGCCCACACCACCTCGCCCACACCACCTCACTCACACCACCTCACTCACACCACCTCACTCACACCACCTCACTCACACCACCTCGCTCACACCACCTCACTCACACCACCTCACACCACCTCACTCACACCACCTCGCCCACACCACCTCACTCACACCACCTCACCCACACCACCTCACTCACACCACCTCACTCACACCACCTCACCCACACCACCTCACCCACACCACCTCACTCACACCACCTCACTCACACCACCTCACTCACACCACTTCACTCACACCACCTCACACCACCTCACTCACACCACCTCACTCACACCACCTCGCCCACACCACCTCACCCACACCACCTCACTCACACCACCTCACACCACCTCACTCACACCACCTCACTCACAACACCTCGCCCACACCACCTCACCCACACCACCTCACTCACACCACCTCACTCACACCACCTCACTCACACCACCTCACTCACACCACCTCACACCACCTCACTCACACCACCTCACTCACACCACCTCGCCCACACCACCTCACCCACACCACCTCACTCACACCACCTCACACCACCTCACTCACACCACCTCACTCACACCACCTCGCCCACACCATCTCACCCACACCACCTCACTCACACCACCTCACTCACACCACTTCACTCACACCACCTCACACCACCTCACTCACACCACCTCACTCACACCACCTCGCCCACACCACCTCACCCACACCACCTCACTCACACCACCTCACACCACCTCACTCACACCACCTCACTCACAACACCTCGCCCGCTGAGGTTTCAATTAGCAGCATCCTTGCTACTTGTGCTGCACTTGAGCGTGGTGCGATACAAAATTACTTGGCATGTAGACGTTCACCAACACATTCTTTGATTAATTGTTATCATTCCTGCACAACATTTATTCATAAACCATTTTTTTCTCCAATTTTTTTTTCATTTCCCTGCTTGTACTGTCATAGTCTCATTTGTAATGCAGAATTGAAGCTATTTTGTTGGTACTGTTTCATTTGTGCTGCTTTGTTTAGCACAATCATCATCTCTGTTCTCTCGCTGATTTGTACCATATGTCTTGTTACTGACCATAAGCCTGCAAGAAAAACTTGTATTTTAAATGAATCGTTGCATGCCTAGCAGGTACAGAACACCCATTCGTTAAGATGTGAACCAATGTAGTCTGTACAGCATCCTTGAAAACAAACAAAATTCTCTGCAAGCTAAACAGAGACTGTGTGATGGCATGTCACTTTACTTTTATCGATGAGGATAAAGAGGATGAAAGTGGAATTTCAAATCCTTATCAACAACATGGCTTGGCAGCTGTGTACCAGCTGCGTACTTATTGGGGATGCATACTCTTTGGTTCTTTCGGTAAAGTCACGTAGGTTTACCTACGTAGGTTTACCTATGTGACTTTACCGAAAGAACCAAAGAGTCCTTGCAGTCACGAAAACTTCAAATCTAGAATTATTGGGGATGATCGGGAAAGTATAGCTCTGCCGTCCTGATGGTAACGCTTTGTATCCCTCCCCATCTTCTTTCACAGGCTGCCCTCAACACATTGAAGCAGTTATCTGAACAGGGCCTGGATGCTTTGGCCAGCAAAGGAAAACCAGACAAGTACTTAACACATCTTGGAAACCAACGGTTTTAAAAAGGCTGTCAGTGACTCACCACGTCCGCTCTAATGTCCGCATGGTCTTTGAACTTGAGTTGCTTCGGAAGTGAGATTTAGGCTCCCATTTCTCTGCCGAGGCTGTTGTAATGTGCCCAGAAGTCTCAGAGGGCGACTTGGAGAATTTAACACGAACATTTGATGTTGCGTCGTAAAAATGTATGCACGATAATGCACACGGTGGAAAAAAGCATACTTTGACAGGTCCTAATTTTGTCATTGGCCTGCCAAATCACACAACTGAATGCATACCAAAGTGTGGAGAGTAATGGGATAAGAATGGTTTAAGTTAAAGAATATTTATTCTTTGGACATATCCGCAATTGTATTCCTGGTTTTGTATTAGCATTCTGTCGCAGGACAAAGAGTCAATTTGAAAATCTATTGTGACCCTGTGCGCATGAGAACTCTGCAGGTGATTTGTATAGAAACGTTTTCAAAGAAACCCTTCAAATGGAAATGTTATATTACCTTTTACACAATGCAAAATAAAATGAGTGTTTTCGCATTAAAGTCAAACCTATATTTTAATTCTCAAAGCTGGTATTTAGCCAAATTGAGTAAAAAACATTATTTGGTGGATATTTTTGTACAGTAAATGTTGAGTGGGCTTAGACCATCAATTAGCTACACTTGAAAACCCGGTTTAATCACAGGTATCTGCCTGGATTCGAACCCAAGAACTCATCGGTGACAGCTCAGCACTCTGAGCCACCCGGACACCTCGATTTTCAGGTCAATTTTAACACAATGTAATAAAGTCATTCTGCGAACATTTTTACTGGACCTCTTGTAAAGCATGTACATTATTCGAGACCCTGTACATCAGAGGAACAGTGGGAAACAACAAAGCCGGTATGGGGAGATCGGCGAGGGAGATTAGATACGACAGACACTTTAAGGGAATTATTGTATAAATAGCAGGGGGATTACATACAGAATCAGGGTAATCCAGAAGGGAGGTTATGTACAGAAGGGTCATTTGTTCACAGGCTAATCAATAAGCATGCATTGCTGGGCATAGTGGTGTAGCTCTTTGTAGGCAGGGTTGGTGGATCGAGAAGACATTATTACTTGCATGAGACACCCAACCTGCTGGGCCATGATGTGGTTTGGCCTAAAGATGGCAGTACAGCAAGTATAGATTGCTGATATTAAAGTTTTTCGCTTGAACACATGGGTTTTCTCTGTTCGCTACCAGTTTCTTTTCGCATGCTATAAAAATAATTGTCAGTTCAATTAACATGTAGGCTTTTGTGGAGAATAGAATTACAGGTATAAATCGCGTACATGCTTGATGATGCTGGTTGTAATCACCAGTGAAACGTTGTACTGAATTGTAAATATTGTGAGTTTGCTCTCTCACACACAACCGGTGTGTTGAAGTAGTAATCAATTGACACGTTCTGCTCACGTGTTAATCCTTACTAATTGGCTGTATCGGATGGAGGTGGGTGTACAACACGTTGACATTTACGCGATCTAACCCGAAAAAAAAACACAATCACGTCAGTGCATTATTGAATTGGCCATACCTATCCAGTAGTAGGAGCATCGCCAAACGAGGCTTGAGGCTCTCTACTAGTGGCCCTTAGCAAGTGGACGGCCTTGAGCCTATACATGAGCAGGGGCAGGGAGTCGACAGTGCAATTGGCCAGTGGGGGTAGTTTCAGATTGTGGAGCTTGCAGAGTACAGATTGACTTGGGGCTTCAACTGAAAGCCTTGGTTGCTGGAGCAGATAGCACATGACGTGGTATAGAGTGAGAGTTCGTTGTCCTTCCCTCGCACCTCCGATTAGCACAGTCGGCTACGTACGGTGTGAAGGAAGCTCAACATACATAGGTGTGACAGCTAAGCAGGATCTTGAAGACGATGATGGCAATCTTGTAGTTTGACCAGGTCTGGATGTATCCATTGAAGGGATCTGAGTTTTGGTGAGATGTCGTATAATTTATGGGTGCGAAGGGAAAATCTGTTAGTGGCATTTTGGATCATCTGTAGTTTTGGGATGAGGAATGTGGGGAAGTCAGAGGTTGATGAAGTTAAAGGGTGAAGGTTCTCAGCAGTGGCTACAGTGAAAAAGTGGCTAATCTTGTGCAGATGTAGGTGTGTGGTCCTGCAGAGTCCAGAGGTATGGGAAAAGAACGAGCGCTTGGGTTAAATGATGATCCAAGGTTGTATAAAGTCATACTTCAGAATGCGTAGGTGTGAACTGGAGGCTTTACTGAGTGTGTCCTTTTTTCCAATGGGGACTTCATATTTGGCAACATTTCATTGGGTATAGTTATCAAATTTCGGAACAGATAGATTCAAGAATAAGTTGCTGTCCTGTCATCTCTTGGCCACCTCAATGCCCAAGCATCCAACACCTCGTATTCCCAGGCAGTCTGCCATGCAAGTAGTAAACAGTTTAAAACCGTATTAGCTTCTGAGATGTGACAGTCAATTGCATAATAAAAATGTAATTGTTCACTCATCAAAGTGAGAATATTGTTTAATTACGAACACCGGATCTCAGTCCGTGCTGGCCCAGCACACTGTACCATGCAGCCACCTCGGTACCATGTTTATTTATCACTCTCCCTGGTGACCCTACCACTCGTTATATGTCATTGTACATGTACAGCCCTATTGACAATCCACTGCCGGATGAAGGCCTTCCTGGCTCCACCACACTGGTCAGTGCGTGTTGGTGAAAGCAGGGGCCGTAGATGTGGGAGTATAGAAGTACAGTACCAACATTTATTTTTGCCGTCTACCACAGCCATGCAGCAAGATTTTGTGCATGGTGGCTCCCCCCCCTCCCCCCATCCAGGCGCTATCCAGGCTAAATGCACCTGCTTAGCTTTCGAGATCTGGTGAGACCATGCACATTCCTTGTGATTTGGTCATATGCTTGTTGTATGTGTTAAGCGTTAATAAAAAAAAAGTTAAAGTCTCGGCGTGTTTGTGTGTCCCTGCAGTAAGGGGTTGGCTGACAAGATGGACCCCAAGGGGATGGACTTAGGCGGGGGCCCCGTGAAGACCCCTCCTGGCCCGTCCCCCGAGCCCATCGGCACATAGACGGGCAACGCGCCATGCCACGCACGCCCCACGCGCCCACGCTACTCAACTTGTTTCCCAGCTCCCCTTCCTCTTCCCAGCTCTCCCAGCTCCCCATCTTCTCGCCCAGCTCTCCATCCTTTCCCCCAGTTATGCCTCCACCTCCAAGCTTCCAATCATCTTTCCCAGCTCCCCTACCTCTTCATAGCTCTCCCAGCTCCCGATCTTATCTCCCAGCTCTCCATCCCTTCCCCTAGCTCCCCATCCTCTTCACAACTCCCATTCTCTCCCAGCTCCCGATCTTCTCTCCCAGCTCTCCATCCCTTCCCCTAGCTCCCCATCTTCCCAACTCCCATTCTCTCCCAGCTCCCCATCTTCTCTCCCAGCTCTCCATCCATTCCCCCAGCTCCCCATCTTCTTCCCAACTCCCTTTCTCTCCCAGCTCCCCATCTTCTCTCCCAGCTCTCCATCCATTCCCCCAGCTCCCCATCCTCTTCCCAACTCCCATTCTCTCCCAGCTCCCCATCTTCTCTCCCAGCTCTCCATCCATTCCCCCACCTCCCCATCCTCTTCCCAACTCCCATTCTCTCCAAGCTCCCCATCTTCTCTCCCAGCTCTCCATCCATTCCCCCAGCTGCCCATCCTCTTCCCAACTCCCATTCTCTCCCAGCTCCCCATCTTTTCCCACAACTCCCCATCTTCTCTGCCAGGTTCCCGTCTTTTTCTGTGTGCCGTGGGGGGGTGGGGCCCGTGTGGTAGTGCGTTGATCCGCGCTGCCTGTGTAACCGCATACATTGCACCATAACTCGGGCAGGCGATTCACACGTTCATTTTTAAATCACGATTATTATTTTTTTTACGAAATCAGCATTGAATTTTTACGAGTGGCTGCCATCCATGGAATTGGATTTATCACAGACGCACAACATTTATCTGGATATTTGTTTTATTTTAAGTTAGTTGCAACAGAAAGTGCTTTCAGTGATGTGTTATTAATTGGTGATATTTACATTTTGGAGTGGGACTTCAGAGCCTCTGTGAAATTACTGCGGCGCACTCCCACTAACAATGTGTGAGCGTTCAGTTCAGCCCAGGAGAGGGGTGTTGGATGAGACGCTGGTTAAGGACATGGCCAAACCACGCACGTAGCTCGTCCGTCACCGCATGGCCCAGCCAAAAGTGTTTTTTAAGCGACCCATCGGCAAATGAAAGCTGGTGGAGCGAGAATTGAGTTGACGTACGCGGTGCTGATGGAAATTAAATGACATGCAGGTCAAGGGTAATTTTTTCCTTTATACAAGAATCTTGTAGCGTTACAGCAGTGTGCCAGTCGTCGGTCGAAGTTGACTGACGGATACATTGGTAAAGAGTTGAATTTACTGTGAACAAGAGTTTCATGGTGAGTGCAGCACTCGGACATGCTGCTACAACAAGCCGCCCAATACAAGGCTCCCATCCCCTGTGGGGTGGCCTTCATTTGGCTTGAACAGTGCTCCCCAATTGAGCTGAATCGAAATGACCCCACAGATCCTGAGAGAGCATTCGATTTTGAATACCATGCTAACGTACACGGCATCGATAGCAATTAACAGATTAACTGCTCTCGACTGCAACTGAGTTTGTGGATTACGCAGTTTATCATCCCACATTTAATGGTCAATGGGTTGTGCTGCATCGTAATTTTATTACAATCATTTTGTTAATTCTTCATGACATGCCCGGCCCCATGGTGCAATGTGATTCGGTGCAGTTTTCGTGTGTGTGTGTGTGTGCGCGTGACCCATACGTGTGTCTGTGTGTGCGTGAGTATGCGTACGTGTGTACGCCGATTCCAGACGAACGTGCAGTACGTGAAGACAACCGATGGTAAGGCTTTAGATGAAAGCGATCATGTAACCAACGGAATTAGAGAAGAGGATTGCTTTTTGCGTTTCAAAGTGTAGCAGAGTAGATCCAGTGGCTGGCAGTTCCTCGCATCTCTACTGGAACCGAAGCCTCTGAAACATTTGATGTTTGCATTTAAAATGAAATATATTCAAACGATACTGATAACAAACAGATTCTTTCAAAAACCTTTGTTTAACCCGAGGACTCCCAGTTTGCTCCCACGCATCGTTTTGTAGGTGAATGTTGAAATAATTGGAAATGGCAGCGAAATGCGTGTGTTATCGTTGAAACAGCGAGGGGGTAGTATGGGTGTGGCTGTGCGTAGAAGATCCTGCAGACTTTGCTTGGTAAACGGCGGTTGTCTTCATGTATATTCACTTTAGCAGCACTACATCACCTATCAGTACAGTAAAATCCAACTCGTTTAGTCTGCAAGAATTTTGAACGGCAACGCGGCCTGAGTGGTTACCGTCGAATTGTCAGGCGACGTAATGGCGATGGGAATGCAGTGCTAAAGGAAACATTCTATCTCCTGTTAGTTTCACGCAAAGGTTGCAGACTAAGAGGTTTTGTTTTTAGTAGTTGCTGACTGATAAGTGTTTATCAATTACTCTTAAGTTGTGATCTTTTTTTTCATTCCGTTCCCACCATTTAGACCTGCCTGTTGCTCTGAACACATTATAAATGGTGGAAACGACTGATATCTTTTGCGTTGTCTGCATCGGCGGCTACGCGTCGTCGCTCTGGAGCGTGGGCGGCGGTGAGGGGTGGCGGGTGGTGGGTGAAGTCCCGAGTGGCTGCTCTGGCTTCAACCAACTCGAGCTCACCGAACCCTTATCCCACCACACCCCACCTCTTCTCCATGCTCGGTGACACTAGCCTGGTTTGGGTCCAGACCAGGTGGCCAGGATTCATGCAGCCTGCGTCGGGTCACTTACGTCAGGACCTATGTTGCTACGTCAGGACCTGCCCAGCCTGTGTCAGGAGCCATTCGGCCTATGTTAGGTTGCGTATAGACTGTTGGGTCCTCGGCAGACTACGTCACGATCGGTGAAAACCTGTCGGCCCTGTGCTGCCGGTGTCGGGATCTGTATGTCCTTTGTCAGGACCCACACAGCCTATGTCAGGACCCACGCAGCCTGTGTCACAACCTATGTTGCTGCATAAGACCTCTGCAGACTGTGCCAGGACCTGTACACCTGTGTCAGGTCCCACGCAGCCTGTGCCAGCATTAACAAAAGAGTGGAGCACGCCCGCAGAACCAATTCTGCGGGCGACGCTGCCTTCGTCGGTTTAGTTGGAGGCTTCCTGATTTTGGGCCGTTTCCAAATTTCCACGTTTTAAAAGTTAAGTCCGCAACGCTGTTAAGTACACGGCGTAAATGCGTCCTTGGACGAGTCACTGAAGATGATGATGATGATGAAAAGCCGTGGGGGGGTGGGGGGGGGGGTGGTGACTCGACCAATGTTTCCACTGCTATCCCCCGGCATTGAGTTTTTGTTTTCTCTCGCGCCGAGGGTTGTGGTGGGTGCACGCAGGTGCATTCCCGACATCAACGCCGTATCCCAGTGGTGGGTGCGGTTTGGGATTAGGGTCCCGACTGGCCTGGGAACGAGCAGCCAAGCCAGCCAGGGACAAATAAACCCCGCGTGTGCGGGACGCGACGACAGAGCCCCCACTTCGGGCTGCAACGAGACGGTCGCAGCATTTCGAAAATCGATTCGGTACGGTGTCATTTTTTTTTTGTTCCTCCACATCAACGGTATAGCGGCGCAGTTGAAGAAACACGAGTAACTGAGGGAAAAAAAAAACTAAATTGGAGCTTGAGGAGTGAGATGTGGCGGTTTTGTACTCCTGACGCCTCGACTCTGCACGCGGGTGCCCCTTTTTGTTATTTTTTTCATTCCCCCCGCCCTCTGTTGGTTTAACAAAGTGTAAGGAAGCATGCACATCCCATAGTCACCATAGTGTATACCCCCCCCCCCCCCCTACCAGTGAGTGCCCGTGGAGTGTGTTTTCGTTGGTGTGGCTAAACCCAGAAACTTGCAGTAAAGACACCTTCAGTTTGTGTACCACCAGCTTCGTGTGTGCGTCTCGTTTTGTTGCGTTTCGGGGTCACCAAATTTCACGTGGGTGTGTTGGTGCTTCATTAAAGCGGTTCGCACTGTTCGCAGGTGCTCCTACGCGACTGCAAGACTAAGAATTACCACCTGTTCCTGGTATTCCCCGGATCGCCATTCTTTCTGAGGTAGCGTCTGTTCTGGGAAATCTGTCAGTCTTCTCAGGATGTTAAAAGCCCCGGGTTTTGTCTCTTGCATGATGATACACTACACCGCTCAAGACAATGCTTTTACACGTAGTGCTCCCCCCCACCCCACCCCCCCCCCCCCTTTTCCATTGGATGATATTCTTCCCATGATGTGACCCAGCGTTTTTTGTACCTCCGAGGTGGCAACCATAACTGGTACGTAATGGTTTAACACACCGAGATTAAATTATTCCAATGTACTGGACATATGTTTGCGCATGATTAGCCGGACATTTCACCCATAACGCACTGAGTGTGGTTCAAGTGGTGTACGTATTTCGAACGGTGACTATTGGCTGTGTTTTCCTGAATAACCATTACTCGTGACGGCGTCTGTCAGTCTATGTAACACACTTTAAATTATTTGGCTCTTCTTGAGTGGTCCATATCTCACCACACAGAACCACAGACTCACCACACACAACCACAGACTCACCACACAGAACCACAGACTCACCACACAGAACCACAGACTCACCACACAGAACCACAGACTCACCACACAACCACAGACTCACCACACATAGACTCACCACACAACCACAGACTCACCACACATAGACTCACCACACAGACTCACCACACAGAACCACAGACTCACCACACATACCACACAGACTCACCACACAAAACCACAGACCACACAGAACCACAGACTCACCACACATAGACTCACCACACAGAACCACAGACTCACCACAACCACAGACTCACCACACAGAACCACAGACTCACCACACAGAACCACAGACTCACCACACAGACTCACCACACAGACTCACCACACAGAACCACAGACTCACCACACAGAACCACAGACTCACCACACATAGACTCAGCACACACTCACCACACAACCACAGACTCACCACACGGGACCACAGACTCACCACACACAGACTCACCACACAGAACCACAGACTCACCACACAGAACCACAGACTCACCACACAGACTCACCACACAGACTCATCAACTAAAACGATTACACCTTTTTTATTTTTTACCAGGTAAGGCACTGAGCTATATAGCTCTTTTTCAGAAGCGACCTGACCACAAATAACATCTCAACAAAGTGGCTAATCATTGGGAAAATGTAAATCGGCCAAACACTGTAAACCCATGGTTCTAAATGTGAAGGGGGAAACTGGAGGACCTCGAGAAAAATCGACACAACCACGGGGAGACATGCCAACTCCAAATATACAGGCATCTGGGTCGGGGTCGACCCCACGACATCCTGTACACCAGGCGAGGAATTTAGCATCTCACCACCGTGGCGCTTCAGGTATCTGGATGAGGGCCTCCACAAACCATGTGAGCTGTGGGTGCTTTTTGACCATATTTTACCACACTGGTCCGTGTGCTTTAGCGAAATCAACACCGACGTGGAAGTGTAAAGTAATACAATAATTGATTTTGCAGCCTCCATGGCTATACACATCTGGCAGTTCTTCAAAGCAAGCATGGCTACTGAACAAACACTGCGAATCGCATCCAAAGTGTATTTTGCACTCTCAAAAGGCACTGTGGCTGTTTGGATGTGTAAAATATTTTACGTATTTTCATGTGGTGGGGCAGATTTTGGCGGGAGGCCGATTGTCGGCTTATTTTATTATGCGCCGCAGTCGCTCATTTCGCAGGCTCACGTCTGTGTAGCTTGAGTTGGGCGAATTCCGGGTGATTTGGTCACAGGCAATATGTGTGTGGTAACTGGTCTTAACCTTATATCCGATAGGTACCTCGATGTAGTACACAAAAAGTCAGTATGCTCTTTACATACCACGGAATGCCTAAGTATCAGGATTATTTTTCAGGAGGAAAATTAAATTCTGGGTGTTTGGCCACTGAGCTATGTTTTTTTTTAATATTGGGGGGGGACCACATCTTCCAGGGGGTCTGGGGGTCCCCCACCCCAGAAAAAAAATCTAAATTTGAAAACGAATTTCCAGCCTAAAATATAAACATAGGATGGACTTTTTTTTACATTAATGTCTAATAGTGTATTGTATTACATTGCTCTGTTGTTTTGTACCTTTTGTTTCATTGTATGTAATGGCAGAGATTAGGGATTCATGAACTACAACCATAACCACATTCATATCAACAGAAATCTATTTTATAGCAATATATTGGGGGGGGGACATTTTGAGCATATTTGAATATTGGGGGGGATGTGTCCCCCTCAATATATTATAATTACGGCCTTGTACAGAACTATATTTTAAAGTGTAGTCTCTGATATATGGCATTCACGCAGTATTGCATCGGCATCATCGCTCGCTTGGTTTCTTCGCTAAAAGGGGTCAAGAAGCAGTATTATAGCCCCACTGTTCTGCTGTCAGAGGTCACGGCTGTGGCTCTTCAGTCATTCCAGCTGTCGGTGATGTCTAAGCACAGTTGTCAACTGACCTGTACTTTATGTAACATTCGAGGATGACGTATCAGCGTATTCGCTAAATCACCGAAAACACGAATTGCATTGAGAAACGTTATATAATTTGTTTAACACGTAGGATTTCGCGACCAATATCCATAATAGTGTTTTTTTTGCGGGTTAGATCGCGTAAATATATAAATGTGTCGTTAAACCCGCCACCACCCGACACAGCCAACTAGTAAGGGTTGTAGCTTGGCTCTCCAACACACAACGGTGTGCTGTACTAGTGACGAATTGCCACGTTCTGTTTACGTGTCAACCCTTACCAGTTGGCTGTGTCGGGTGGTGGCGGGTATTAACGACACATACATTTACGCGATATAACCCAAAAAAACGATTATAATTTAATTTTAAAGGACAAGCTCTGTTGCGAGAATTGTTAGACTCAACATTTTTTTGAATACGGTATAACAATTCACTTTGTTGTAGTTACTGCATTATAATCTATGAATGTTTTTGTACAGCGTCGTTCGTGCACACTGCATCGCATAATGGCAGAGAAACCGCAGTCAAACTGGGAGGCACGCAGGCGGTGATCCGATACCGAGACGTGCCCAAGCTGGACACTCCACTATGCTTGCATCCAAGTAATGAGTGCTTGTACAAGTGTGGGAGGAAACGGGAGCGCCCGGAGAACCCCCCCCCCCCCCCGCGTGTGAGGGGGCAACACTCTATCCCGTACAGAAGGGAGAAGGCGATATTTATCTGCACTTTGCTGCACGTTAATTCTCTTGGTAAGCCGGGGGTATGACAGACGCCTCGATGCCCCCGAGAAAGGGAGTTGCGGAACATTTCTGCGATCCGTCAAACGTCGCCTCCACAATTCTGGATTGCGCCCTCCAACATCCGGTAATTATGCATCTAATTGTAAAAAAAAAAGTGTGTTTATGGTGTTATATATTCATACCCTTCAGGTGAGAGATCATAAAGGAAACCTGGAACGAGACAAAGGAAAACAACATGTACACAGTAAGATGTTAATTTTAAGGGGTGGAGCGGTAAACCACTGGGTGGTTTTCGAGAATTGTGCGACAAAGCCAACAACTTGATTGTGATCCTCCAACAATGGCTTACGGCAGTGGCGAATGATATCTGAACCCGTCCTGTGACCTTCCTTCGCCTACTTGGACTGGCAAGTGTGGTGAAGTGTCCATTGATAACATTTAAATGTGTTGGCAAATTTGCTGTTTTGCAAATCGCTGATGGTTGAACAAAAGGCACGTGACTGCTTTTGTATGCGCGTGAAAAAGGTGTCAATCGCTTTAGGTATTAATACATCAAGGCTGAGCGGACGTTGAAAAAGTGTGAGAATAACACCAGATGCTTGATGTACTGCTGCACCACGGTACTGTTGAGAGGTGGCGAAGACTTGGGGCTGCTTCAACAGAGCAGCGGATTGATCATGGCTGATTATGCCGATTTCCATTGTGCTTGCACCACTTTGTTCGAAATGGGTACATTTCGATTTAAAGCTTTCGTGACTGCAGGGATTCATCTTCTTGGATCTTTCGGTAAAGCGCTGTCGTCCCGACAGTTCTGTTCCTTCACCCGAAGAAGGCCACTTGTGTTGTGGCCGAAACGTCGTGAGAATTTTATTTTTTATTATGTTTTATTTTTATTATTTCATTTCCATTCTACGTGACTTTACTGAAAGAACCAAGAAGATGGGTACATTTATCGGACGAACCTGCAGGCGAAAATCGCCATGGACAAAGATTTAAACTCATGCTGGACAGCCCCGTGCCATCCGCTACTCATTGTTATCATGAACACCAGCCACGGTCTGTCCCAGGGGTCGACAACCAAAATAACAAGAAGATACATTTTTTTTCGAATTCGGTATAAAAAAGCCCACAATATTTGAAGAGCCGCAATGCACGTTAATACGATACGGTAGTCCTTAATAAATATCGTCACGATGACGTCCCCTGGTTTATCAAACTGCCACCTATGACAGTCACGTAATGCAACATTCCATCTCGCATCTCACTCCATATCTGCAATGTATTCTTTGCTTTGGCTGTGTACTCCGTTGTTAACCTCGACCATGATCTTGATCTCGACCACGTGCCCTACCCACGTTCAATTTCCTGTACCTAACAAAGTGATATCTCGAACCTGCCCATCTTCTCTGTATCTCTGTCATCACAAACGTTGCACCTCTTTCGGCTCCCTTGCACAGTTTTGTTCTACATTCTAAATCATTGTGTTCTTTATTCGTATCTTGTCAATATATGTATTTTATTTTAAACCCGTTAGGGATGTGTGTTATATTAAGTTTGTAATTAATGTCGAGGGAATGGGAGGCTTTAATCCACCAGTGGATAGAC